GACCGACTAGATGCCCCCGAACGCCTGCAGCTAGACCGATTTAAACGATTATATGGGGACTTGCTTTCGGGGCCAGCTTTGGTGATCCTCTTGGCAGGGCCCCCCTAGACATGCTTGTATGTTTACGGGGTTCTGCCCCGCGCAGGGATGGCAAGCTTGGCCTGGGAGGCCCTCCAGTTTTTTGTTAGCTTGGCCCTCCTGCCCGCTGACAGCACGGTGCCGTGTGCTTTGCTCACCCGCGTTCCCGCTGCGGCTGTGCCGCGTTGAGCAGCCCATGCACGAAGTGTCGTTCTGCAGTCTTCCCCTCTACAAGCTGGACGCCTTGCAGCGGCAGGTGCCGTGGGTCATGGAGGACTGGCTGGCCTACCATCTCGGCCACCTGGGCTTCGGGCGAGCAGACATCTATCCAGAGGCCTTCGGCCACCCCGCCGCCGTGCCACGGTCGTGGGCAGGAGGCCTCCGGAAGGAGCACCTGCAGTCCTCGGTGCAGGGAGCTCGAAGGGACGGGAGTCGGAGAAGAAAACATAGCACAAACAGAATCTGTTGGCGCTCCGCGCGGATGTCTTGGATCCGCGCTGGGCCATCCCAGTGGCGCCTCCAGCGCCGCCTCTGGCGCGCTCCGCGCGCTAGGTTGGGGGGGGGGGGGGGTCCAGCGCAGATCCAAGAAGTCCGTGCGGAGCGCCGAACGTTTATGTTTATGGCGCTTTTTCTTCTTCAAGAGAGCTCGAGGGACACGAGGGCGCTCAGCTTCGTGACTCGCGGGCGGCACGGTGGCGGATGACGTGGACGGGTCTGCAGCGAGGCACCTGGCGCGCTGGCGGCAGCGCGGCGGCGCAGGCGAGGCGCACGGCGAGGTGGCGTACTGGCCCTCGTGGCCGTCGAACCTGTCGGCGAGCATCACAGGCCAGCCACAGCCGGGGGCGGCCCAGAGATCCGACGTTCCCAAAACATTGGGGCGGCGGGATTTTTGTTGTCTTCGGCCTCCGGGGGCCCTCGCCGGGCAACGGGACCATCAAAAAACGACTCAGGGCGAAAACCTGACCCCCAGGAAGTGGCCCAGACCTCTGGGGCCAGCACATCAAAAAAAAATGGAGCGGCCGGATGTCTGTGGGGGGGGGGGGGGGGGGGCCATCGACCTCGACAGCCCGCTCTCGAGAAGGACGTCGTCGTGGCAGGCTCTCCCAGAGGGGCTCGGGAACACGGCCCCCCTGTCTCGTGGCTGGCCGACGTCGCCGCCACCTCGGTCGAGCACCCCTACTGCTCGGAGACGTGGGCGTACGCCCACTGCGTTACCACGCACAGGGCCCTCAGCCACTGGGTGATGCTCCTGCACGGGCCCGACGAGTACGCGGTGATCCCCGGGTCGCGGGCGCCTGGGGCGCTGCCTCGGCTGTTGAGGCGCTTGGGGCCGGAGCTCTCCGATCCTTCAGGCGTGGACGGGGCAGATCCGCTCACCTCCATCATAGTGAGCGCCTCGTCTTTCGCTCGCGGCGGCCCTGGGGCAGCTCACGACCCGAGTGCGAGGGGCTTTGTCCTCGATGCCTCGTATGTGCGCGGCGAGGTGCGCTACCAGCACACGCCTCTGGTGCGTCCAGCCCACTGCGTGATGATTGGCCCGCATACCTGCTACGCCGAGGCGGGCAAGTTCGGTGGGCTCACCACGATGCTGGATCCGAAGTTCCTCCTGGTGCACCACTACGTGGAGATACTCGACCGCGACGCCGGCCGGTGTGCCAGCCAGCACAGCGTCTGCAACGTGCCAGATGACACGGCCGCGTGGGTTGCCCAGGAGCTTCGTAGATGAGGCACCAGCAGCCCCTTCGTCCTCCAAGTGTGCGGCGTAGAAAAACTATGTGAATGGGTCTGACGCTCCCGCTTGAGCTGCCCGCGGAAGGTCGCGGGCAAGCGCCCTTGCTGCCCACGCGGTGTACCCCGTGAGCGGCCCGCGCAAGTTGCCGCATGATCTCGTAGCGCTGTCGTGCGCAAGGCCTCACTCCACTCGTCGCTCGCGTGTCTGGCCCCACCCCGTGCTTCCGGGCATCCCCCGCCTACTGTTGTCGTTGGCGCCGCTCATCCTCGTTTCTGTCCCTCCGCCTCCGCGCCTCCGGTCTCCGTCTCCCCCCTCGCGTTCTGCACCTCTTGTTCTTATCGTTCGTTCCCGCCCCAGCTCGACACAGCCTTGCTGCGCTCACAACCGTGCCTGGGTAGTGGACATATGGACTCTCAGAGGCTTTCGGGTGTCTCTTGGGATGCATCTTGGGGGCCGCTCGAAAGCCTCATGGGGTCCAGTCGGGAATCTAGTTGGAGGCCTCTTGGGGCCGCGTGTGGGTTCCTCAGGGCCTGCCGGGGCCTCTTGAGGGCCTCTCGGTCTCTCGAGGGCCATCTTGGGGAGAGAGGCTCGAACTGCCAGTTCGAGTCCACCCCCAGTGGGCCCCCCTTTCGTGTGAACGTCTTGAGGCCTCTCGGGGCCCTCTCGGGAAGATAGGTGCCCGTCTTGGGGCGATCTTGGGGGCCTCTTGGACCGCCCGGGGCGATCGTAGGACAGGGGATCCGAGCGTGTGAAAATCGTGCAAGAGTTGACTGTTGTGCAAGGGCTTCGGCGTCTCTTGCCGGCCCCGAGGGCCTCCACAACGGCCCAGGTGCGCCCAGTCAGGCTCCAGGACGGGACCGAGACCACACCAGACCATGCTGAAGGTATGACCTCTTGCCCACGTTCCTGCAGGTTTTGGAAAACTCGGGCCTCTCCAGTAGAGCCCATGAGCGCCCGTAAATGGGGCCCCTGGGCCCCTCGAGAGGAGCATTGGCAGTAACTCCTTTCAGGGTTCCTTGGTTTTGTTTCGCTGGAAGGCCTTGCCTGGGTTCCTTGCTCGTCGTTCCTTGGTTCTTTGGTTTTGGTTCCTTGTGTCGTCCCTGGTTCCTTGGTTCCTTGGTCTTGGGTCCTTGGTCTTCGTTTCTTGGTTTTGGTTCGTTGGTCTTGGCTCCCTGGTTCCGTGGTCCTGGTGCCTGGTGTCCTGGGTTTGTTTTCTTTGGCCCTGGTTTCTTGGCTCCTTGGGTTTTTGGGCCTCGGTTCCTCGGTCTCGGTTCCTCGATCGTGAGCCCTTGGCTCCCCGGGGATCGCGTCGCCTTCTCATCTGGCATCGCGCAGTCTTCCTTCGTCTTGGTCCACTCGCCCGCGCTTGCTTAGTAAGCTCCTCTTGATTGGGGTCGCGCCGGGTTCATGTTTGAAGCCCGTTGAAGCGAGGAAGGGGGAGGGCGGGCAAAATATATACACATATATGTACACGATCGGATCGCTCTTGCCATTCCCACGCAACTTTGGACAACAATCGAGGACGCGTGACGCCTGCCCAGCTCGACCTCACGAGACTTGTGCTCGATGATTCGCCGTGCCCAGAGAGATCTGGGCTCGGTTATGTATCTGTTTCGGTTTTACACTGGGCGTCTTCTCTTGGTTTCGGGAGATGGGCCAGTATCGGGCCGTTTTGGCGACGGGAACGCCACAGAATGATGAGATCGAGGGTTCTTGTTGTGAGTTTGTCGCTACTTAGTTGTTTCGCGACGTCTGATCCCAGGGCATCCGAGCTAAGGGCGAACGGAAACCAGGAGGGACGGCACGAGGAGCAGGGAACAAGAGAAGGGGCTGATCGTGGTGTTCAGGCGCCATGGCCGCCAGTGGAGCCCGTTTCATGTAACCCTGCGGACGGATAAGATTGCTGTTCATGCAAATCATGCAAATGCGTGGACCCCACACAAATCGCCCCCCCGTTTGTGATCATTGTCTTACATTGGCCTTGCAAGTGTGAACCAGGCCTTCGTCATTTGCACAGGACTCGTCAGATACGACCTGAACGGGACACTCGTGTGCAGCCTGTACTTGGCTCAAGGGGCTTGTGGCAATAGAATGACATCTATGCCGCACGCGTAATTCTTGACGCTTCGCGTATCCCCACCAGCCCATACAGAAACGATGCCGAGGGGAGTTGTCTGGGGGAGTGCGTGGGTAAGCAGGTAGTGAAGCTCGGAGGCCAGCAATTGTGAAATCACACCGCGGGGATCCTCCTGGAGCCGTCTTGGGGCACTTGTTGTCTCTCTTGTTACCCTCTTGGGGCTCTCTTGGGCTGATCAAAGAAGGGGCAGTCCCAAGTGCTGGTCCCCGCCCCGGCGGAGGCCGAGCAATTGTCCCCTGGGGCCCTCTTGGAGCGCCCTCGGGGCGCTCTGGGCCCGTCTTCGGGGCCTCGTGGGCTCGTCTTTGTGGCCTCCATGACCATGTTGAGGCCCTCTTGGGAGCCACTTCGCCCTCTTCGGAGCCACTTCGCCGTCTTGGGAGCCACTTCGCCCATCTTCGGGCCCTCTTGGGAGCCACTTCGCCGTCTTGGGGCCTCTCGGCGCTCTCTTTGAGGCCTCCTGGGCCGTCCGGCGGCCACATGGGCTGCGTCGGGCTCTCGTGGGCACTTTTGTTGGCCTGTTCGGGCCCTTTGCGGCCCGTCTTGGCGCCCCGTGGCCCCATGCAAAGCAAGGCGACAGTCCCCCAGGGGTCGCGCGGGAGCCCGCGGCGCAGCCCGGCCACATTCGGGGTCCAGGCCTTGCAATACCTCCATCAAGACTCGGGGAGGATGACTCGAAGGACCTGGGGACACGGCAACTCGTCGCAGGAGGAAGAGGTACCCCTACCGCTGCCCTCCCCCCGTTTTTCAATATGCTATGGCCTCCTCGGAGGCCCTCGTCGCCACCGCTGCATTCGCCTCGAAATGAGGGTCAGAACGCACCCTGGGAGAGGTCCGGGGACTAGCGGTATCGGTACCGCTTGGTATCCCCATTTCGTTCACGGAGACACGGTTGCGGATAAGGAGCAGCGATATTTTTTCCCCCGAGAGGGGCGCAGGGGGCTGGACGAGCTCGCGTACCAAACCACCTACGCCCAGACGGCTGATGGGATTCTCGCTTCGGTGGTCTGTCCCAGGTGCCCTTCCCGTCCCGAGCGGTCCTTCCCGTCCGTGCGGATGCCTGGGGGCGTTGAGCCACTGCAGAGTCTTCGGTTGCACAGACCTGGGCATCGCACTGTCGTTCAGCGCACCTTCCTCCACGTGGTCGAGGAGGGCCTCACGGAGCCCCTGGACGGCGTCCTGAGGCGGGCGTTCTCCGCGCCGCCAGTCGCGTCGAGCAGGAGGCACGGGCCGCCCCCGAGCAGGCGGGCCGAGGAGGCCGAGGGCCTCGACGGCGACCTCGAGGCGTCGCAGGAGAGCCAGGGAGCGGAAAGTCAGGTGAGCGGCGCAGAAACCGGTCGGTGGCGAGTCATGGCACGCGGCCTCGCATTCCCTCGCACTTTTTCGTCTCAACAGTGCGGCGGCGTCGATCGGAGTCCGGTGGTCGATGAGATAGCGCGATTTTAGCGTCGATGGGCGTCGGCTAGCACCGGTTAGCGTCGAATTGGTACCGAACAGCGTCGATTCGCGAGAGCCAGCAAGCTTGCATGGGAGGCTCCCATGAGCTGACGCAAAATTCGTTTTATCCTCCTCTGCCTTCTTCTCCTCCTCCATCCGCCTCTTTTGCTTGCAATGGTTCGCGCATGGCTTGATTATGTCCACCACGCAGTGTGGTGGGCATCGTCAAGCCACTCAGTGTAGTCCACACTGAGAGGCGCTGCAGTTTCAAAGTGGCCCAAGATAAGGGAAGCAAGCATGCGCATATCGAGCATATGCCCTATATCGAGCACCTACCCTCCTGAGAGATATCATTCACACACCTACACAAATACAAACAACACCAACAACAACCATCGTTTTAAGACCGTTCGCTCCTATCTGCTCACGTGCCAATCAATATCTATATGACCACCCTGCGGCTGATAAGGAGGTTAGGGGGGGCATCAATGGGCAAAAGTGGTGATTGTTGTTCTGACGATGCCTGTGGAGCGGAGTCTAGTGAGTAGTGTGATTGTGCACGTGAGCGTGATGTGATGTGGCGATGTTGGCGAAGCGCACTCGACATGGTCGTGAAGCGCTGTCCCCGCGTGCGCTTATCAATCGCGCGAACCTCACCTCAGCGCTAGTCCACGTGGTCGGGCCGCGGCCCAGCCACGGGAGGACTTCGGGACACCAGCGGGACACCGTCGGGACACCGCGCGCCACCGGCCGCCGGAGGAGAATCATTTGGTCCGGCCGCGGCCCAGCCACAGTAGGATTTCGGGACACAAGAGGGACACCGGCGGGACACCGCGGGCCACCGGCCGCCAGAGGAGAATCATTTGGTCCGGCCGCGGCCCAGCCACAGTAGGATTTCTTCTCGCCCGCCCACGCAGCTTCGCCTCGCCCGCACGCACGCATGGCACGCACGACACGAACCCGAAACCGAAATCGATTTCCTGGTAGGGGGGGTCTCCGTTTCACGTCGGACTCACCCCCCAGCCTCCGACGTAAATCCCAAACCCTCGGTACCCGCCCTCGTCGTCTTCGATCGTACCCCCTTGGGGGTATATCTTCATTACCTGACACGTGTATTTAGTGCAGCTTCTAAAACAAGGGAAGAGAGGACGGCTGGAAGGGGGAGGGAGAATAATGGAGTATGAGAGAAATGAGCAGGAGGGGGGCAAGGACCAGAAGACAAGTGGTAGAACCAGACGGGCAGATCGGGTGGGCAGACCCATAGCGGGCAGGTCGGGAAGGCGGGCCCAGGCAACGAGGTCGAGCAGGCGGGTTGCTGAAGCGTGGGTCTTGCATGAATCGCGAGGAAGTCTCGAGCGATAGCGCGATTGCCAAGTAAATCGTGAGAAAAGCCAGCGTGGGCCACGAAGGACATATGAAGTATTGATATTGATAGTTTTCCACATTTCCAGGTTTTCCTGTTCTTCCGCGCGGGCTTCAGGGACGAATGGTCGAGCGCGTTCCGTCGCGCAGGTTCTTCGCGTGATGTTCGCGGTGCATTTTCCGCGCATCGGAGCGCCCTCGAAGATTCCAAGCTGTATGCTGGGTTGCTCTTGGGGGGTCCGCGAGTCGCAGCTGCCGTGGCGCTGTTTTCGAGGTAGCCCCTTCGAGTGCTGTTCGCGGGCGCAACGCGCGGCGCGCGCTGCGCCTAATCGCGCGCGGCGCGGCGCGTGCATCAGCCGGTCGCGCCCGTCGGACCGCCCGGACATTAGTTCCTGATTACAGAATGTGTCAGCAAATGTTTCCGTTTTTTTCGCGCAAGCGTTTCCAGAATTTTTCAAGAAGGAGCCCGGAAATTTTAAAAAAACAGTTTTGAGGGGTGGAATGCGTCCGCCGCGCAGGCATCGGAATAATTCTAAAATCCGGAATTTTTCTAAATGGATTCCGGAATTTTTCAAAATCGACCCCGGAAATGTTCAAAAACGGTTCTGCCATTTTTCGAAAAGTAGGCCAGACATGTTCAAACATGTTCCCGGATTTGTTCAAGTTTCCATCGGGGAATTTTCCAGAGTCGCGCATGATTTGCCTTGCCAGGTCTTTGGGGATCCGCCGAGGCGCGCGGTGCGCGGCGGCGGGCGATGGGACGGTGCGCCGCCGTCCCCCCCGTGCTCGGAAACGAAAAAGGGGGTCAGCAACTGCCAAGTAGCACCTTACGGTCGACCACTCGATTGCGAATGGGTGACCGACCAGCGACGCCAGCCAGAGTAGACAATACTCGACGCAAAGTGTATCCCGCGCGAAGGCTGTTAGAAATCCCGGAATTTCCGGAACGTATCAATAGCACATTGTGTCAATAGGTTCTTGTCGTCCTAATAACATCCGAGGCCACAGAGGGCAGCGACGGGGCCGCTGAGGGCAGCACCGCGGACACGAAGGGCAGCGAGGGGGCCACAAAGGGCGACGGCGGAGCCACGAAGGGCGTGCAAATGGGGCCACGACGGGCGCGAGCGAGCGGGGGCCACGAAGGGCATTCGTATACGGGGCCACAAAGGGCGACAGCGGGGCCACTGAGGGCAGCATAGGGGCCACGAAGGGCAGCGAGGGGGCCACGAAGGGCGACAGCGGGGCTACGAAGGGCATGCGTAGGGGGCCACGACGGGCGCGTGCGAGCGTGGGCCACGAAGGGCACATAATGCGGGGCCACAAATGGCAGCGACGTGGCCACTGAGGGCAGCAACGGGGCCACCAAGGGCAGCGAGCGAAGACGACCACGGAACCAATACGGGCAGCGAGGGGCATCGAAGGCGGGCGAAGCGCAGCGAGCGGCGACTGCAGTCATTAACGGGCTGGTCGGGCAGGCAGGCCCCGACGGGCGGGTCGAGCGGGCGGGTCGTTGAAGCGTGAGTCCTGCTTGAACCGCCAGGCAATATGTAGCGGGAGCGCGATTCCTGAGTGGCGAGGACCCGCATCTGAATACATTGTAAAGAAATATCAAGCGAAGCGGTTCGGTGGTAAGTTACAAGGAAGTCCCAAGGGAGAACGCGATTCTGCAATCACATATCAGGAAGTATCAGACGGGGGCCGCGATTTGGTGGTAAATTGCTAGAAAGTCCCAAGCGAGAGCGCGACTCTTCAATACATGGTGAAGAAGTATCAGGCGGGAACCGTTGTTGTTGTAAACAGGGGGCTAACGACACAGTTTGACCCTCAAGATTTTCCCTGATTAAAACAACAGGGTGCGAGCCCCAGGAGGGGCACTTCAATCGAAAAAACAATGTGCACCTTGCGGGGGGGATCAACAATATTTTTCACAATGAGAATCCAACAGCAACAGCAACAGCAACAGCAACAGCAGCAGCAACAGCAACAACAAAATCGAGGGGTCGGCAATGCAGTGCGGACGCATGCGAGCATGGGCACGCACGGCTCTCACGGCTGCCGCAGCAGAAGAAGAGGCGGGTGCCGAGGTGTGCGGGCGTCGGTGCGTCGGCCGCCCGCACGGAGGGGGGGCGCGCAGTGGCCCTCTATCTGCGGCGGCTCCTCGCGGCCCGCGGTACAGTCGACCCGCATGGTATGGATGGGCAACCTATCCCAAGGGTACCCTGGCGTCCTTGCCTCCTCGGTCCACACTTCGCCACGTTCGTTGGCCGCGCCCCGCTCGCAAAGTGTCGAAACGGCCTTCCAAGGCCTCTGCATCCCTATCGCGCATCCTTAGGATACGGGCCGACTGTTTCCCGCGCCGTTGCGGACGGCTTCTGCTGCAACAGAGCGCTCCTGCGTTTTCAGAGTCGGCAGCCAGTCCTTGTCCGCCTGGTGCAGTGCGACGGCCGTTGTCCTGACTCCCTTCCGTCATCGCTTGCATATCGCACCGGAGACTCAGGAGGGGACAAAAACACACAGACACAATGAATCGTCGATTCCCAGGAAAAGATGGAGAATACGGACAACAGGGGGGAAGACGAACATCCAAAAAGTACTGGAAAGTATGGGGAATCCTGTTATTTGTGTGTATTTGTTTTTGTGTGTCCCGAGGCCCCTTCAGAGACGTTGGCCACACGTGCTGCGGAGCAAAGCAGGCAGGGAGCAGCAGCCATCCCACGGGCTCCGCGGCCCGCGCGTGCAGGAGGCCTCTGCGCGAGAGGGCGCCGGCCCGTCGTGCGCCGGGGCCCCGCCCGCCACTCCTGTCGGCGCTGGCCAGGGGGGTATAGGAGCCAGTTGCGGAGTGCAAGTTGTGGCAGATAACCGCACGAAGGTCGGGGGAGCGTAAGACCCGGGTTTGCCGGGACTCGGGTTCGCCATCGTTTTTTGACGACCGCGACTCGGATTGACGAGGAGGAGTTTTGTGGGATGTCTGCAGCGGGAGGCCTCGTCAAAATGCAGTCCCCCGTACCCGGGTCTTACGTCTGGGGGTAGGAGCCAGTTGCGGAGTGCAAGTTGTGGCAGATCACCGCACTACGTAAAGAGGGGACCGTTGCTGCCGACTATGCAGTTCGGCCTTGCTCAAGACCTTGGGATTTGACCCGTCCCTGATGCGATCTAGGTACACTTCGCCAGGGGGGGTGATGGGGGTGCACGGCTTGCCGACTTCGGAGGAGGAGGGAGTCGGGAGCCTCGAGACGGGAGTCCATTTGCAAACGAGCGCCAGATCTTGCAGGATCCTGCAGGGCCAGGGGCGCACTGGCCGGGACGTGGGTGCAGGATCCAGCAGGATGTTGCAGGATCTTGCAAGGCCTGCCTGACCCGGGTTTGGATTGACACGGGTCAGTAGACCTCGAAAAAGTACCGATGCTGGTACCCTCCCTTCGTTTTCGCATTCGTAGGTCTCCTCGGAGTCCTTCGTCGCCACCGCTGGATTCGCTTCGAGATTCTGGTCAGACCGCACCCCGGGGCAGGTCCGGGGAGTAGCGGTATCCGTTGCTTTTGGGCTTCCCCAGGGTGGCTCTGTCCTCTCATGTCGGCGCTGAGGGGGGCCGTGAGTAGGCCTCCGCGTGAGGGCGCCCTGTGCTCCTCCGTGAGATCGATGAGGAACAAGTTGCACAACATGAAGGTTCGTAGCTCCGCGCGGATTGCCCTGGGCGGCGCCTCCAGTGCTGCCCCTGGCGCGCTCCGCGCGCCAGGGAGGGGGTCTCAGCGCAGATCCAGGAAGTCCGCGTGGACCTCCGAGAATACGATGTTTATGCAATCTGTTGTTTCCTCTGTTCTCGTCGGCGCTGAGGGGGGCCCAGGAGTAGGCCTCCGCGTGAGGGCGCCGCGTGCTCGCACGTAAGGCCCCCCGCTTTATTTTCGGCGCCGAGGTGGGCCGGGAGCCGAAGACGACGGTGGCGATCAGAAGCATCCCTTGCCATCTCACGCGCGACGAGCTCATGCTGCATCTCCACGCCAGGGGCTTCGCGGGCCGGTATGATTTTCTGTATTCGGTGGCGCTTCCGCGCACGTGCCCCACAATTTTTGGTGGCTCTGGGGGACCCTCTGGCCAGCTTTGCGGGTCTCAGGGCCGTAGCGGCGGACTTGGGCCTGTCTTGCAATGTTTCAGGTGGCGTCCTGGACCACAGAGGTGCGATCTGTGTGCGCGGTAGAAAGACGTGCATGGGGCGTATTCCAAGAGACGATGCTGATAATTGTCGCTGTGTGATTGTCCAAACGGTGCGTGTGCTGAGCGGGTCCTCGCGGATGCTCGAAGGAGACGGCGAAAGCGGCGGGGTGGTTTTGATGGGCTTGTTTTCCACCACGACCACCATAAGTTGGAGGGGGAGGGAGTCCTCCTCCTTTTCCTCCCCCTCCTCCTCCAGCTTGTGGTGGTGGTGGTGGTGGTGGAAAACAAGACCATCAGGTTTCGCCTGGCGGCCGGGTTCTCTGGGTCTCTAGTCGGCAACAGTGTGCCGCCCATTTCGGTGGGCGGCCAGGCTCCAGGCCCCAGGCTCAGGAGTCCTGTGGTCAAAGCATGAGAGAGAGAGGGAGAGCAGGGATATTGTAAGAGTGGGGGGAGGGTAGAGGGAGCTAGAAGAGTTTATAGAGCGGGGGTCAGAGAATGTGTAGAGTGGGGGCAGTGAGTGTATGTACATTTATAGACACATGCCCTTCTCCGAGGGAGTAAGGCGCAGAGGCGATCATTGTGCCGTCCGTGCGCAATTGTTCTGGCCGTGTCGCCCAGGCCGTCCTCACAGTTCAAAGCGTAGGGCGCACGCACTACGCAGATCGTGACGTCAGAGTTCACTGGCATACTGGATCTGCCAACGTTTAACATATCTTGTGCAAGAACACGGTGGAGGTGCATGCTTCGACGCACAATTGCAGAAACACATAATTCAGCATGGTCTGCTAAAGCATGCTAGAGCATATTGGAAGTCAGTGATGCGTTGCACAGAACTGTTAGCACAGCATTTGGGTATAGCTGGTTCCCAGGGGAATTCTCCAACTTTGCTCTAGCCTCTGCTTGTTCATACGCACAGGGCTGTTTCTAAGAATGTAGTCGAATCGCAAGCTGTAGTAAGGCCATCGGTAACGCACCATTGCTATGTTGCATCAGCTTGGGCACGCACTTGCCACTATCGCATACCAATATACATATACACTTGTGAATCAAGAGCAACGAGTGAGGAAACGACAGTGCAGCATATGTTACAATGTATGCAGATGTCACTAGAGGGTGGATGGTAGATTTCATGTTTGGAGGGTTGGTGTCATATGAAATTGTAGGTCAAGGAGAGCGCAGTGTTGAGCGGTATGACAGAATAGCACGCAGTATAGGTTAGAGAGTAGTTAGTAGAGAACAACGATCACAACGTCCGCCGCCTGTGCTGAGCTCTCGCCCACTACTAACGCACAGCCTTTTTATGTGGGTTGTCTATATCCTGGTGCCTGGGACCAACCCACCACTGTGCCAGCGAAGCACTCTGTTTGGCGAGCCTTCAAGCATCGCCCATAAATCCGCCACATGTGACACATCTCGTCTCTACATCTTGAGGAGCTCTCATGGGGACTATCTATTTGGGCCGTCGTTTGGGCCGTCTCGGGCTCTTCTAGGGCAGTCTTTGGTGTCCATCGGGGCCCGCTTGGGCCGACTTAGGGCCCTATTGGTCCGTCTCGGGACTATCCTTGCCGTCTGCGGGGTATTGAGGCCTCTTATGGTTCTCTTGGGCCGTCTGGGGGTCTTCTTACTCAGGCCGTCTTGGTTCCCTCTGGAGGCCCTTTTGGGCCAGCTTAGGACTCTGCTGGAGCCGTCTTGGGCCCACTAGCGGCCTTCTTTGGGTTCTCCGTGGGCCCATTTTTTTTGCGTTTGGAGACCGCAAGTGTTCCGATGTTCGAGCGCAGGGCGTGGAAAGCGGCTGATATTGAAGTTCTCTGCAGGACGCTAACATCTTCTTGGAGTCGAGGGCCACCTGCAGAGGCGTCTGGGGGGTATCTTTGGGCCCGTTGGAGGGCTCTTGGGACTTCTTGAGTGCTTCTCAGCATCGGTGGCGAGCGAGGGGGGGGAGTGGGAAGGGCCGGACCTTCGGAGGGCTCGGACGTGCCCCAGCCTTCTGAGTAGTCTGCTGAGCCTTCCCCGAAGACAGAAAACTTCTCAGCAGGCGCGAGGGCCCACGAGAAGTGCCTCCGCCCTCTGAGAGGGCCTTCTCCTTCTCGTTCCCCCCCCCCGCTTGCCGCCAACAGGAGCGCTTCGGGTGCGTCTTCAGGTCATGCCGGGCCCCTTTGGTGGTCTCCGTGGCCCTCCGGGGCCGCCCTGGAAGCCCCTGTCGTTGCGCCAGCATCGCAGGGCGGATATCGTTCGGAAAACCATAGGATGTGCCCGGAGCGTCCTGGGGAATTTCGTTTCGGCTTTCGAAGTGAACTTCATGAGGATTTGTGTTGGCCAGGAATGGAGACCAAACACACATCCACGTGAAATCCACTCCGTTGTTCGATCGCCGTCTCGGGGTTTTGCATTGACGGAAATCCACGCCAAAAATCCGCAGCAGCACGTCTGCAACCCAGACATTCGACGTCTCGATTTTCTCAGGACAGCGTCTCTGGAAGTCCAGACCCTTTCCCCGTGGCCGGTTTTTCATCCTGAGTCGTTTTTTTGTGACGCTCTTGGGACCCGGCGAGGGCCCACAGGGGCCGAAAATCTGGGGCGGAAAAGAGGGGGTTGATGACTAGGGGGGGGATATCATAACGGGGGTCATGCTGTCTCCCCAAATTTCATGGCGCAATACGTCCCCGGCACCCCCCCCCTTGGCCGCGCACGTGCCGCCGGCCATGAGTTGCGCCCCCCTCTCTTGGACGCCCCCCTCTTGGCCGTCCCCGAGGCAGCAGTGAAAACTTGCCGTCCTGTTTTTTTTACGACGCGGCCATGTCTGGGAAGGTCGGTGCAGTGACCTCTTGAGGGCCTGGGGCAGCTCCGGGGAGGCGCCCGGCCGCCCAAGGAGCCTCGGGGGGGGGGAAAGGCCCGTGCAGGCCTCCCGTGGCGCACACACGGCGGCGTCCCGACTCTCTCACCGTTGGTAGCGAGGCTGACCCAGACGTGGTCGCGTCGTGCAAAAGTCAGGACGGCAATTTTGTTATTCATTTTCGGCCCCTGGGGGCCCTGGCCGGCCCCGGGGATCGTCAACAAGACGATTCAGGATGAGAAGCCGGCCCCAGGGAAAGGGTCTGGATTTCTGGGGACGCCGTCCTAAAACAATCAGGGCGTCGCATGTCTGGGGAGGCAATCCGCACTTGCGTGGGGCTAATCGGGGCAACCGAAAGGCAGATTGTCCGGCGTGCAAGAGGAAGGAAAGAAGACGAGGGTGGTGGCCGCGCGAGGGGAGGAGGGGGAAGCGCTCGGCGTGGAAGAGTTCCGCGAAGAGCAGGCCGGAGCGGCCAGCCGGGGCAGCGGGGACCGCGGCAGCAGCTGGGGCCGAGGCCAGGGCGCACCCGCGGGCGCTGCCAGGGCGCAGTGGCGATGGCGAAGCAAGTAGAAGCGGGTTCCGGACACACTGAGTCCACGAATTCGGTACGATTGAAGCGGGTACGTAAACAATGGGTACGATCGGACGGGCCTAGGATGAGGACAGATCCAGTCCAGAGCGTGCCAGGACGCTCTCAGAGCGTTCTGGCACGCTCTGAGAAGGCCGCGGCGCCCGAGGCATCAGAGCCGCCGGATTTCAGAGATTCTCGATTTACCCTCGTGCAAATTGATCCTCGTCCTGGCTTCGTCTTGCACGAGAACCAGCAGCATGTTCTGTTCATTTTGAGCAGGACTCGCTGTCGGTGCCACCGCTGTCGGCGTCGCCCTGCCCAACAGCGGCCGCTGCCGGTTCTGGACCACGTGTGTTGTTGGGCAGCGTGCGGAGTTGTTCTATATTGCGCGTTTCCGAAAGAATGCTGCCATCTCTGAGGGGGGCGCATCAGGCAGGCCTCGAATCGAGATATGTCGGCCCCGAGCGTTGCAGGACGGCCGGGGCGCCCGATACATCCTCCAAGTCTGCCGATTCTCAGAAGTTTCCGATTTATATTGGTCCGATTTTGTCTCGATTCTGCCCTCGCCTTAGCGCACCCTTTACTTCCGCCGCCCTTCCGCCGCCATCCGCCGAGGAAGAGTTGCCACCGCCTGCACTCCCCGAGGGCGAGGGTGAGGGCCTCCCTGGAGCGCGCCACGCGAAGGGCTCCCTGGGCGGGGCGAGGAGGGGCGGGAGCCTGACCGTGCGAGGCTGAGGTCCGCGGCCGTGGACCGTCTTTGGGGGGGGGGGGCGCGGGGCCGTCTGAGGAGGTAAACTCCGGACCGCTCTGGGTCGGGAGGTGGCCGTGGGCTGTGGAGCCAGCTGGGGGTCGGGAGGCGGCCCAGCGGCGCCGGGTTCGGGAGGGCGACTTGCCTGGTGCGGCCTCGGGGCTCCAGCGTCGGGCCCCATGGGACCGTCAGAGGCGGATCCGGGGTGAAAAGTTGAACCCGCTGGGCCCTGCGGAGGGGTTCTTGGGGGCCGATTCTGAGCGGGTGGCCACATCCTGAGTACTGTTTTTGGCACCGCCCTGCTGAGAAATTTGGAAGGGCAAGTTGTAAGCGGCGCCGGTCCGCGGAAACGGACGCATGTCGGTCAAACGAGTCGTATTCCGCAAGGGCATGACTAATTCAAATCCATGGGGCCCGGCACGCATCAGTGGTCGCAAAACGCGAGTGCGGACTTACCGATAAATTTGGCCACATGCCAGAGCTTCGGTTATGCATTCGTCAATCCGTCTGCCTGCGGCAAGTCCTCCCACCGTGCCATCCCAGCATTCTGGGTGGCGACTGTTCGAGGGTGGGAGAGCTGTGGTGAGGATGAGGGTGAGGATGAAGATGAGGATGACACTAGTGGTGATAATGATGAGGAGGTTGATCATGATAATGGGGATTATGAGGGTGGTAGTGGTGGTGGTGGTAGTGGTTGTGATTATGTTGATTATGATCATGACGATGGTGATGATGCTGCGGCTGCTGCTGATAATGATGATGATGATTATGCTGACGATGATGATGATGATGATGATGATGATGATGATGATGATGATGATGATGATGATGATGATGCTGATGCTGATGCTGATGAAGATGATGCTGATGATGATGATGCTGATGACGCTGATGCTGATGATGAGGATGATGATGCTGCTGCTGATGATGGTGATGCTGATGATGATGATGCTGATTATCATGATGATGATGATGATGATGATGATGATGATGATGATGATGATGATTATGATGATGATGATCATGCTGCTGCTGCTGCTGTTGCTGCTGACTGATGATGCTGCTGCTGCTGATGATGATGATGATGATGATGATGATGATGATGATGGTGATGGTGATGGTGATGGTGATGGTGATGGTGATGGTGATGGTGATGATGGTGGTGGTGGTGGTGCTGCTGCTGCTGCTGCTGCTAGTTATGGTGTTGGTGGGGGTGGTGAGGAGGAGGAGGCAGAGGAAGAGGAGGAGGAGAAGGAGGAGTAGGTGGAGGACTAGCAGCAGGTTGAGGAGCAGGAGCGGGAGCACGAGGGAGAGGAAGGCCGTCACATATGACATCTTTCGTCTTCGAGCTCTGATGGAACTCATTTGGGCCGTACTGGGGCTGCTTTGGCCTCCTGTGACGCAGTCTTAGGGAGTCCCTTGGGGCCCTAGTGGGCCGTCTTTAGGGTCCTCTTACGCCATCTTTGGGCTCTCTTGGGCCGCCTTGGGGACCCTCTTGTCCGTACGGTGGTTGTCTGGGGGCCGTCGTGTGGCCGTCTTGGGTCGTCGAAAGGCCTTCGAAGGCCGTCTTGGGACCCACGGAAGGCCCTCTCGGGCCGTCTTGTATGCCTCTTGGGCCACCGTGGGACCTTTTGGGCCATTTTGGGACCCTCTTGGGGGCCCCTGGGACCGTCTCGGAGCTATCGTGGAGGCGCCTTTGGCCGTCTTGAGCTTACGGACGCCCGAAAGAGCGAGAATACAACAACCATTCAACAAGCGAAGGACAGTCAATGATTTGGGCTTCTTCGGGGGCTGTTGAGGATCCTCATGTGGCCTTTTTGGGCCCTCTTGGGGGCATCTTGGGCCGTCTTGAGTCCGTGTTGAGCCGCCTTGGGGCCATCTTGGGATCATCGAGGCATCTTGGGCCATCGTGGTGACCTTGGTTGCCTGCATGGGCCGTCTTGGAAGATAGGGACGCGGACCAATCGTATTTATTCAGGGATCGTGGCCTCGGGATCGCGCATCCATGGTTTTTACTAGGGATCGTGGCCTCGGGACAGGGGCCGATGCATGCAGGGAACGCGAGTAGGTGAGGGGGGTGTCTCTTATTAGAGTTCAGAAATCCTGCCAGACAGCCCTAGGCATTCTTCCACGCCCCGGCGTGCACAGGGCACGGTGGCGGATCTCGTGAGCCCAGAGGACGCCGAGCGCATCTTCGCCGAGTTCGACGGCGTCAGCTGGGGCCAGTCCGGCGGGGGGGAAGCGGTGGTGAGCTGGAGCTCGAGCCAGGGCCTGGACTTGCACCTCGAGCGGTACCGCAACAGCCCAATCATGCACGAGAGCGTGCTGGACGCGTGCAGGCCCGTCGTGCTGGAGGGCGGCGTGCGCGTGGAGTTCCCAGCGCCCACCAAGAAGGTGCCGCGCCTCCGCCGGCTGCGCACCCGCTTCGGAGCAGGTGGGTTCGGTAGCAACTCGCTGGAGTCTCGTATGCCCTCGTAATTGCGTCTGGTAATCGGTGAGATAGCGCCGATTCGGCGTCGATAGGCGTCGATTAGCGTCGATTTGGCGTCGATCCGCGTCGGCTAGCGTCGATTGGCGTCGACTCGCCAGGGCCAACAAGATGGCATGGGAGGCCCCATGAGCTGCCACCCGAGGTGGGCGCAGCGTGAGTTCCAGCCTGCTGCTTCCCGGGCTGTCCAGCGTGCCAGGCAGCACCGACCAGGAGAAGGTGAGAAGGTGGCTGCGCATACGAGTGACCTTTCGCCGCTGTGACCTTTGGTGCGGGCCCACATGGGGCCACCCCATCACTGGCTTGCGCGCTTGGATTCGGCCCTCACGCGGCCCCCTAAATCCGCGCATCAGAGGCCACCGTTGCCCAGGATCGCTCTTACGCGTGGCCGGAGAAGGACGGCGTCCTGGCCAGCCTGCTCGCTGGTCTGAAGCCCACGACCACCGAGGCCTCCCCGGCAGCTCCTGGCCAGGAGGGCGTCAGGGCGGACACGCGGCAGCTCGAGGAGTTCAGCGAGGGCTCCACCCAAGCGTCGGAGGGGTCCTTCGGGGCCGCCAGGCGGTGCGGGTGCGGCGCCCCCGCCGCCGACCAGCCACAGTTAGGCTCCATGCTCGCACAGGGGCTGTTGCAGGCTCTGCCGGATGAGGGGGGCGCTCGGCCCCCCGTCGCTTGGCCCGAGTCCGTCAGTCACGTGTGCCGTCATGACCGCCGTCGACCGTGAGGAGTGCCCCCGCGCAGTCGAGCTGATACAGACAGGCCGCAGCACTCGCCCGTTAGAGCTGTCAAGCGCCAGCGCTCCCGCCTTCCGCTTCAGGGAGCAAGGCTGCCGCGGAAGATCTGGCATCTAGCAGCTCGCCAGGCCATGGCAGGCATGAGGAGCGCGTCCCTGTGCGAGTGCCAGTAGCCAATATGACGGGTACCGAGGGGTTGGTGAGGAGAGAGGGGAGAGCGGCAAGCAGAGGCCCGACTCTCTCGCCACGACAGCCTCAAATGGTTATCGCGCCAGCACTATGTTTAGATTGTTTTAGAGCCCAGGGTTTGGAAGTTATCCTGCACCTGCTAGACCAGAGTCTTTAAATCGCTGTGGTCGTTGCAGGGCACTGATACGGCCCCGTGCGGTAAGGTAGTGAAGGCCAGCGGGCAGTCCTCTCCCTCCTCTAGGGCAAGCCGTTTGGACCAAAGGGCGGCATCGTGGCACCCCGCCCACCCGTTCACCCACTCGTCTTCCTTCCAAATCTCAAGTTGTTATGCCTGCCCAGCAAGCGCACTACCTGGACTACGACTGGCCCCACTTCTGAATACAGACCGAACCTGCCAGCGATTCTGTGACATGGTTGCCACAACCGTTGCAGAAGATGTTGCTGGCGTTTGCTCTCGGCACTGGCTTACTTCCTGCCGTGCTCTAGCAACCTGGAGGAGGAGAAGGCTTCATTCGGAGGTGAATTCAGGACCCCACGGCAGCGTGTGTGTGTGTGGGTGTGTGTGTGTGTGTGTGTGGGTGTGTGTCGATTCTCGTCGGTTCTCGCCTACGGCTTCAATAGCAGTGGCAGTATTATATAGCGTTTTTCTCTGCTCAGCCCAGAAGTTTTCCGATGCATGTTCTTTACGTCTCTGCCTGCCGATGCGCTTCATGAGATCGCAAGTACTGGCACGCAGGGCGACGGAACGAGCTCGCATGAACCACTCATGTCCAGCGACGGCTGCATGAGCAGGCCTTGCAGGCCGACTGCTTGTCAGTTCTCCAATTTGAATATCTCGATCGTGGGACGCGGCAAGGATCTCCTCCGCCGCCTCCTCCTCCTCCTCTACCCCTCGCCTCCTCCTCCTCCTCCTCCTCCTCCTCCTCCTCCTCCTCCTGGGCGCGTGCTTCTCTCATAGCGTTTAGCTGGAGGCTTTTTACAGCGGTATTGCGGCAACAACAAAAACAAACACACAGGAGAGTCCCACAGGGGGGGACGGGAAGCGTAAGGATGCTCAGTCTGGCAGCCGTTTCGCGTGATATTCCGATTCCCTTACCATGTATGCAGGAGTCTCAGGAGAGAAAAATACACACAGACACACTTCATCGCCGATCCCACGGAAAATATGGGAGACTATGGGAAGTGGGGGGAAGACGAACACCCAGAACATATAGGAAATATGGGGAATCCCGGTGTTTGTGTCTATTTATTTAATCGCTTCGCTCATTCCGCCGGCCCTGGAGCGCTAGTTGGGGCCTCTTGGGGCCGTCTTGGGGGCTTCTTGAGGGCTTCTTGGGAGCGTCTTGAGGCTCCTCGGCGGCGTATTGGGCTCCCCTGGGGCCTCTTGGGGGGCTCTTGGGGGCCCCTTGGGGCGGGAGGGGGGGTAGTTGATTGCAGCCCCCCCCCCCTCGGAGGCCACGATCCACGTGAGGGGTGGCGAAAAATAGCCTCCCCCCTGGGGATCGCCCGGGACCCGGCCGGGGATCAGCCGGCGTATTTTTCGTCCGGGGCCCCCCAGGGGCCGCCCCGCGCGCGCGAACTAGAAATATTGTTAAGTAGTTGCCAGACGCCTCTGGCCCGTTGGGCCGGCGAATTTGTGTGTCCCTGGGCCCCTTTATTAATGCGGGCTACGTGTTTAGTCGGACGGCCACGATCCCTTGAAACTTATCGGGTCGAATTCACCAACGATATGCGGGTGCGAGTACCGCAGAGCAGCTGGGACGAACGAGGGTCAGCTTCCTTTGGGGTAGCGAGACGTGTGAGGGGTGTGCCAGCTCGGGTGCAGATGCTCCACGCGAACGCAGCCACTGGGGCCTTCGGTGGAGCTCCCCATGGGGCCACGAATTGTTTGAGGGGTGTGCCAACATGAGGGGTGGAACTGCATGCAGATCCTGCGATTGGGACCTTCGTTGAAGCTCCCTGCGGGGTCACGAAACTTGTGAGGGGTGCGCCGACATGGTGGTGGAATTGCCATTGGGGTCTTCGGGGGAGCTCTTTATGGGGCCACGAAGCGGATGAAGGGTGCGCCGAGAGGGCGTCAGAATTGCATGCGGACTTTGGTCTTCGATGGGGCTCCTTATGGAGCCGCGAAGCGTGTGAGGGGTACGCCGAGATGGGGAGGGGAATTGCATGCGGACCTTGCCATTTGAGCTCCTTATGGGGCCACGAAACATATGATGGGTGCGCCGACATGAGGGTCTAACTGCATGCAGACCCCTGCCATTGGGGCCTTAGGTGGAGCTCCTCATGTGTCACGAAAAGTGTGTTGGGTGCGCCGATATGGGGGGTGGAACTGCATGTGGACCCTTCCACTGGGGCCTTCGGTGGAATTCCTTGCGGGGCCACGAACCGTGTGAGGGGTGCACCGACATTGCATGTGGAATTGCATGCGGACTCTGCCATTGGGGCTTTCGGTGAATCTCCCCACGTGGCCACGGAACTTGCGAGGTGTGCATTGGACCGAAATGGTGGGTTGACTGCATGCGAATCCTGCCACTGGGGCCGTCGGTGGAGTTTCCCCATGGGGTCACGAAGCGTGTGAGGGGTGTTCTGAGATGGAGGGTGGAACTGCATGCGGACGCTGACGCTTGGATCTTCGATCAAGCTCCCTGCGGGACCACGAAGCTTATGAGGGGTGTGCTGAGATGAGGGGTGGGCATGCGTGCGGACACTGCGGCCTTAGAGCTCCCTACGGGGCCACGAAAAGTGCGAGGTGTGCGCCGAGATGGGGGGGTGAAACTGCATGTGGACCCTGCCACTCGAGCCTTAGGTGGAGCTCCGTATGGGGCCACGAAACGTGAGGGCTGCGCCGAAATTGCGTGTGGAACTGCATGCAGACCCTGCCATTGGGGCCTTCGGTGGAACTCCCCACGAAGCCACGAAACGTGCGAGGGGTGCGTCGAAATGAGGGTGGAACTGCATGCGGACTCTGCCACTCGGGCTGTAGGTGAAGCTCCCTGCGGGATCACGAAGCGTGAGGTGTGCCGATATGGGGGGTGGAACTGCATGCGGACCTTGTCACATGGGCCTTCGGTGGGGGGATCACGAACCGTGAGGGGTGCGCCGAGATGGGGGATAGAACTGCATGCGGACTATGTCAGTCGGGCCTCAAGTGGAGATCCCTATGGAGTCACGAAGCGGGTGAGGGATATGCCGAAACGCGGGGTGGAGCTGCATGCGGACCTTGCCGCTGGGGCCTTAGGTGGAGTTCCCTATGAAGCCACGAAACGTGTGAGGGGTGCGCTGAGATGGGGGGTGGACTTGCACGCGGACCTTGCCACTGGAGCCCCGGCACTTGTGAGGGGTGCGCCGAAATTTTCATGCAGAGAGCAGGGGCAGGGATGGGAGGAGGGATGAAGGGCGATGAGGAAGGAGGAGGAGGAGGAAGGAGGAGGAGGGGGAGGAGGAAGGAGGAAGCACGGGGCGCTTTCTCATCAAAACGGGGACCCAACATCACAGGACGGGTGGGACTAATCAACACTGCGGTGCACATGGCCGTGCTCGCACCCCTGTCCCAGCTGCAGTATTTCTTTCTCAGGTTTTTTCTGGCCGTGCTCCTCCAACTCCTCTCCTCAATCCGCCTCTGCATCTTCGTTGCCATTCGGATGCTGTGCTGGGTAATCATTGTGAGGGTACCCGTGATCAGAACTCGTGGTCGTTTCACGATTTCCGGCGAGCTTGCTCAGCTGACCAGGCGAGCTAGCAAAGGGACTCTCGGATCTGGCTGCGGGAGCGTTGCTCTGGCCAGAGTAGCTTCTTTAAAGGCGTGGACTGCAGACTCAGTTCTGTCCTGGGGCATGCACCCTGCATGGGCTGCCCATAGCTGGTCTTCTGCCGTCGCGACTCGAGCAGAGTGAGGAATCCGGTAATTTTTCACAGGATGCTGTACACGGCGTGCAGGAGGTAGAATTTGTGATTCCCTCCTGCACGTTCGACCGGCCATCGTGCTCTCGACCTCCTCGCGGATGCGAGCCTCGGACCTTGGCAGAGGCCCGCGGGGAGGATATAGGCAGAATTCGTTGGAGTCGGATTAATATTGTTCTGCCCTATCTTCCAACGATCGGCAACATCCTCGTCCTCCAGGTGGCATTGCCTGCGACCGTCGCCTTGTGGAACAGATCTCCTCCTCCTCCTCCTCGTCTTTTGCGCAGGCATCAGGGGAGGATAGGGGGAGCGAGGCCAGTCGCTGCGTGACAGCATCCGGCTGTGGGTGGGACCATCAGGCAGGTTGCTTCTGTCGCCCCGCCTGTCAAGACGACGGTTCTGCATGGGGGGAGCACTCGGAGCGATACGGGACCCGCAGTTGCAGTCTAGTGGCCGTCGGCCTTTCCGCCATCATGCTCTATCCGACGAAGGCGTCTATACACCACCACCGTGCCAGGCCAGGGCCATCCTGGGCCCAAGGTTGGTTATAGACCCTCCTGGCTTCGGCCAGGAGGGCGTATACACCGTGCCAGGGCCAGAATGACCCTGGCTTGGCGCGGTGGTGGTGTATAGATGCCTCCTGTGTAGCTCTGGGGGCCTCTTGGGGCGATCCTGGGATCCTCTTGGGGGCCGCCTGGGGGCGTCTTGGGGGCCTCCTCGGCCGCCTGGAGGCCATCTTCGGATTCTCGGAGCGCTCTTCTTTCTGCGCCAGGGGGACTTATGGGAATTAGGAGAACGCACCGCTGCCGCCCCCTGGGGCAGCCGACAGATGCTGTGCATCAGGAAGCGTCTGCAGCCGCTTCGGGCTCGGAGGGAGGCCGCGAGACGCGCAGAGCGGGGGTGGGCTCGATGTCTACACCAAGGCGCTTGAGCCGCCAAGGAGCCATGGGACTCGGCGAAGAAGTTTTGTGCATGGGCGCTCCTCGCCAGAATGAGGAGAAGCGAGGAGGAGGAGGAGGAGGAGGAGGAGGAGGAAGAGGAGCGAGGAGGAGGAGGAGGAGGAAAGGAAGGAGGAGGATGAGGAAGGGGAGAGAGGAGGAGGAGGAGGAGGAGGAGGAGGAGGAGGAGGGAGGAGGAGGAGGAGGAGGAGGAGCGAGGAGGAGCGAGGAGGAGGAGGAGGAGGAGGAGCGAGGAGGAGGAGAGGAGGAGGAGGAGGAGAGAAGGAGGAGGAGGAGGGAGGAGGAGGAGGGGAGAGAGGAGGAGGAGGAGGAGGAGGAGGAGGAGGAGAGGGAGGAGGAGGAGGAGGAGGAGGAGGAGGAGGAGGGGGGGCAGCTCAGGCAGGATCAGTAAGTGGGCTGGGGGTGCGTGTCCCGTGTGAGCGTGCGCGCTGCGTTTTGGTGCGCGCTTCGAGCCCCCCCCCACGTGGCAGACCCCGGGGGTCAGCCCCATGGAGTGCGCGGCGCACAGCGCGCACGAGGCGGCCCTGGCGCTCCGGAGGGGCAGGGCGACCACGCTCAGTGCGAGCGACAGCGGCCTGGGCGACCTCGGTGCTGAGCGTGTCGCCGTGGAGCTGGCGTGCAACCGCTCGGTGCAGACCCTGCGCCTGAGCGACAACGACATCCGCGACGGCGGGGCGCGCACCCTGGCCGAGGCGCTGCTGGAGAACTCCGCCCTGACGGCCCTGAGCCTGAACCGGAACGGCATCGGCCCGGAGGGCGCCCACAGCCTCGCGGCCGCCCTGTCCGACGGCGGAGGGCCGCTGACAGACCTCTCGGGTGGCGCAGAGGGGCGTCCCTGGTCCGGAGGGCGTCTTCGGTCGCAGGTCATGGGAGCTGTGTGTGCCCTTGCGATTCCGCTGTTCGAGTGCACCAGCGCCGGGGAAATCGATGGGATGGCCCCGATGTGGCGTCGATCTAGCGTCGACTGGCGTCGATCTGCGTCGATTCGCAAGAGCCCGCAGGATGGTTTGGGAGGCTCCCATGACGTGCCACAAAAGAGGGTGCAGAGGTTACCAGCCTGGAACATATGCCTATCCTCATGAGTGGCATCACCTAATCTCGATGCCGACCTTAAGGATTCCCTCAGTTCCTGAGGACGCATTCCTGCGATCGTCATCGCCTCTGGATGTGCCAATCCCAGGGATAAGGACAATCGAGGCTGGTCCAGAGGGTGTCCCCAGGATGTCCCACGGGGGCCCCGCCCCGCGGCTTCCAGAGAACCCCCTGTGACGAGGCGCACGGGGGCCCCCCTCGGAGCTCCAACAATCGCACGGAAGGCCCGGGACCCCCCCCGGGGACAGGGACACCTCTCGCCCCCCCGAACCTCGACCTAAGCAACAACGCCGTGGGGGACGTGGGAGCGGCGCACCTGGCGGCGGCCCTGCGGGGCAGCACCTCGCTTACGTCCCTTGACCTGCGCGTCAACCGCATCGGCGACGCTGGCGCGGGGGCCCTCGCGTCGGCGCTGGAGGTGAATTCCGCGCTGGCGCAGTTGTACCTCTCGGGGAAACGTGAGACTCGAGTGCGCCGGATCTCGGGTTTGTCAGCGCTGTCTGACGAGCGCGTCCTGGATGTGTGAGGGTCCAGTTTTCGTGGGACGTGTTCGCAGCGGGAGTGCGCGTCAAATCTCAGACTGGGTCTTTCTCATTTTCACGACAGCCCCGTCGAGCCAACCTGAGTGCCCCGAACCCGCGTCCTACGGCTCCCCGAACCTCAGCGACAACGCGATAGGGGACGAGGGCGCCGAACGCCTGGCTCAGGCTCTGGTGGCGAACGCTTCGCTGTCCATTCTCGACCTCGGGTACAACAGCCGAATCGGACGGCGAGGGGTCGAGGCTGTGGCCGTGGCCCTGGAGCAGAACCGCGCCCTGACGTCGGTGGCCCTGCGGCACAGCGGGAGCGACAGCGACGGCTTGGACAGGGTTGCCACCCTCCTGCAAGGCCAGAGATCGGAAGCTGGAACATATGTACATTACCAGTGGCGGGCTGTTCTTCGATCCCCAGACTTTTTGAGGGTCGGGGTCGACGTCCGGGTGGTGTGGTGTCCACTCTCTTCTCCGCTTGCCCGGGGAAACAACGAAACGTGTGTAGACACCAGGATCCCGTGGACACCAGGATGAGCTCTCCTGTGCGACTCCCAGTGCGGGGCGGGACAAAACACGTCGGTGTACAGTGCCGTTTTTAATACATGCTCCGCGTGCGGATCATGTATTACAAATGCAGGGATTTAGGATTAAAAACAAGGATGAGCTCATGCATAAATGCATTCATACATTGACCATGCATTAAAACAATCGACGTTTTTTTTAATCCAATGTATTAAAAACTGCCCTGTATGGAGTTCGGCCTCTCACCAGAGAGGTCGAACGCGGCCCGCCCAGGCCGGGGCCCGGCCTGGGGAGCGATGGGGGCTCCTGTGAAGCGGGCCGGCTGGCCCGAGGTCGGCGCAGTGGGACCCAGCACCACGCTGGGGGGGGGATGGGCCCGGGGGGGGGAGGAGGAGGAGGAGGAGGAGGAGGAGGAGGAGGAGGAGGAGGAGGAGGAGGAGGAGGAGGAGGAGGAGGAGGAGGAGGAGGAGGAGGAGGAGGAGGAGGAGGAGTAGGAGGAGGAGGAGGAGGAGGAGGAGGAGGAGGAGGGGGGGATGGGCCCGTGGGGGGATGCATCGACCCCCCAATCGCCCATGGATCGGCGATCCATGGGCGCATCGTCATCCCGTGGGCCGAAAGCCAAAGTGAAAACCTGAGTGTCCTCACCGATTTCCGAAATCCAGGTGCAAACCCGAGTGTCGCCACCCATTTGGGCGGTCCTACAGTTCTCCTCGATCTCTGACCCTGGGGCGCACCCAATGGATCGCCGATAGGGGCCCGATAGCCCCCACCCGCCCAGGAAGGTGCAGTTTCGCTATAGGGGGGCCCATTGTTGATCTATCGCCGATGTATCGCCGATTCCAGGTCGGTGCAGCGCTCCCTGGGCCAGTCCCCCCCCCCTATCGCTGTCACTCACCGCTCACAGCAGCCGCGCCAAGACGGCGCACTGGCAGGGTGAATTGCGACGGGTGGCAGCGTGCGAGCACATGCGAACACACACACACACACAAAGACATTGTGAAGGAATCGACCGTGCTGCAGGCGGCCCGGTGTGCCGATCATGGGGAGGCTTTGGATCCTGTGGGGGCCCGGCACCAGCGCCAGCACCGAGACAAATCCCGAGGCTCAGTTGCACGCCCTTCGTTCGTTGGCGTCTTCGCGCTCGCGTGCCCGATGCCAACGAGCTTGTGGAGGAGAGGTGCAGGACGGCGTGGGCCCTCTCCCTCTTTTCCCTTCCGGCAAGCCCCATATAGCCAATGAGCACTATGAGGCCTCGGGGCCTGCGAGTCCCACGAGTCTAGAGATTCGGCCTCCGGGATCCATGGGGCCTGCGATGATCTTCGGCCTTGGCGTACCCTCCCGACGTTGGACATCCAGGAATCTGCCCTCCTTTCGCGGATTTTCCTGTCCTCCCCTCGAACATCTGCGCTCACTCGGGGCCCGAATTCAATCAAGCTCGAATCTCCATCAGCCCCCGGGCCGAGAAAGCTGCCATCTCCACTTCTCGAAGCGCGACCTCGTGACCCGTCGAATGGGGCGCTGGAAGGTGGATGTGGCCAGAGCCCCTTTTTCCCAGCGAAAAGACGCCCCCTGGAGGGAGGAGGGGAGGCCCCAGGAGGCCCTCCTGGGGCCTCCTGGGGGCCTCGGGAGCCTCTCGGGGTCCCCTGACAGCCCCGGGAGCCTCTCCGGGCCGTCGTGGGTCCCTCCCAGAGCATTCGAGGGCCGTCCGGGAGGTCTGCGGGGCCGCCTTGGGGCCGTCTTGGCAGCCTCTTTGGGCAGGCTTGCGGCCCTCCTGGGCCGTCGTCTGTCATCGAGCACAGGAGAACCCCTTGCCCTGATAAGACGATGAAGACGTGGCCTCACTGAGTTTCCCGTCTTTGCACTGGGGATCATAGATCTCGGCGGTTTGGTCTGCTACACGTGCAGAAATCACCCCCTATCCCCAATGCTTTTGGCCCTCCTGCCGTAGGTCCCTCCCGAAGGGTTAGGGGTTCTTTTTTGCTTCGTCATTCTGGGCCTCGTGGGGGGGCATTTCGGGCCGTCTTGGGGCGGTCTTGGGGACCGGTGGGGCCGTCTTGGAGCGTCGGACGCCCGAGAAGGCGAGAGCGCTGACGTCATGGAGCAATCCACGGACAATCACGGAGTTTGGCCTCCTGGAGGTTCTCTTGGAGCCCTCTTTGGGCGTGCTGGGGACCTCTTGGGCCGTGTTCGTCTTGGAGGCGGCTTGGGACCGGTTTGGAGGCAATATTGATCCATCTTAGCCTTCGTGGAGATCATCTTAGTCGTCTCATGGACCATCTTGGGGCCGTCTTGGGAGGATGGACCAATGGAGCACACCTCGCCCGCGTGGCCGGCGGGCTGAGTCGAGACCCCGGTGAAAATTCCTTTACATAATCAACATTCAAACGTCTGGCACGCCGTGCACCCCTGTGGCAAGCCAAAGGGGGCGGCGGATCAAGAACGCCTACGGAGAATCACCGCTGCCCCTGCCTTTTGGAAACGCCCACGCGGCCCAACGTTGGGCCGAAGTTTGGCCAAGTTATTGGACTATGTGTTCCCCCAGCCGTTGAAGATCCGCTTGGGGGAACACTTCGGAGAGGACGAGGGAGGAGGAGGAGGAGGAGGAGGAGGAGGAGGAGGAGGAGGAGGAGGAGGAGGAGGAGGAGGAGGGAGGATGAAGAAGAGGAGGCCTCTTGAGTCCCTCCCAGGGGCCTCCTGGGGGCTTCCTTGGAGCCTCTTGATGCACTCTTGGGGGCCTCTTTGGGAAATCCTGGGGGCTTGAGGGCCTCTCGGGGCCTCCGGGGGCCTCTAAGAGCACTCTTGGCTTTCGGAGGCCGTCTTTGGACTCTCTCGGGGCAGTCGTGGCTCCTTTTTTGGCGCGTGGAGATGGATTGGGCCGTCTTGGAGCGTCGGACGCCCGAGAAGGCGAGAGCGCTGACGTCATGGAGCAATCCACGGACAATCACGGAGTTTGGCCTCCTGGAGGTTCTCTTGGAGCCCTCTTTGGGCGTGTTGGGGACCTCTTGGGCCGTGTTCGTCTTGGAGGCGGCTTGGGACCGGTTTGGAGGCAATATTGGTCCATCTTAGCCTTCGTGGAGATCATCTTAGTCGTCTCATGGACCATCTTGGGGCCGTCTTGGGAGGATGGACCAATGGAGCACACCTCGCCCGCGTGGCCGGCGGGCTGAGTCGAGACCCCGGTGAAAATTCCTTTACATAATCAACATTCAAACGTCTGGCATGCCGTGCACCCCTGTGGCAAGCCAAAGGGGGCGGCGGATCAAGAACGCCTACGGAGAATCACCGCTGCCCCTGCCTTTTGGAAACGCCCACGCGGCCCAACGTTGGGCCGAAGTTTGGCCAAGTTATTGGACTATGTGTTCCCCCAGCCGTTGAAGATCCGCTTGGGGGAACACTTCGGAGAGGACGAGGGAGGAGGAGGAGGAGGAGGAGGAGGAGGAGGAGGAGGAGGAGGAGGAGGAGGAGGAGGAGGAGGGAGGATGAAGAAGAGGAGGCCTCTTGAGTCCCTCCCAGGGGCCTCCTGGGGGCTTCCTTGGAGCCTCTTGATGCACTCTTGGGGGCCTCTTTGGGAAATCCTGGGGGCTTGAGGGCCTCTCGGGGCCTCCGGGGGCCTCTAAGAGCACTCTTGGCTTTCGGAGGCCGTCTTTGGACCCTCTCGGGGCAGTCGTGGCTCCTTTTTTGGCGCGTGGAGATGGATTGGGCCGTCTTGGAGCGTCGGACGCCCGAGAAGGCGAGAGCGCTGACGTCATGGAGCAATCCACGGACAATCACGGAGTTTGGCCTCCTGGAGGTTCTCTTGGAGCCCTCTTTGGGCGTGTTGGGGACCTCTTGGGCCGTGTTCGTCTTGGAGGCGGCTTGGGACCGGTTTGGAGGCAATATTGGTCCATCTTAGCCTTCGTGGAGATCATCTTAGTCGTCTCATGGACCATCTTGGGGCCGTCTTGGGAGGATGGACCAATGGAGCACACCTCGCCCGCGTGGCCGGCGGGCTGAGTCGAGACCCCGGCGAAAATTCCTTTACATAATCAACATTCAAACGTCTGGCACGCCGTGCACCCCTGTGGCAAGCCAAAGGGGGCGGCGGATCAAGAACGCCTACGGAGAATCACCGCTGCCCCTGCCTTTTGGAAACGCCCTTAAACGTTTTATTTGGACTTGTGTTTGAACTACGTTGAAGATCGCTTGGGGGAATCCGAGAGAGGGACGAGGGAGGAGGAGGGGAGGAGGAGGAGGAGGAGGAGGAGGAGGAGGAGGAGGAGGAGGGAGGATGAAGAAGAGGAGGCCTCTTGAGTCCCTCCCAGGGGCCTCCTGGGGGCTTCCTTGGAGCCTCTTGATGCACTCTTGGGGGCCTCTTTGGGAAATCCTGGGGGCTTGAGGGCCTCTCGGGGCCTCCGGGGGCCTCTAAGAGCACTCTTGGCTTTCGGAGGCCGTCTTTGGACCCTTCGGGGCAGTCGTGGCTCCTTTTTTGGCGCGTGGAGATGGATTGGGCCGTCTTGGAGCGTCGGACGCCCGAGAAGGCGAGAGCGCTGACGTCATGGAGCAATCCACGGACAATCACGGAGTTTGGCCTCCTGGAGGTTCTCTTGGAGCCCTCTTTGGGCGTGTTGGGGACCTCTTGGGCCGTGTTCGTCTTGGAGGCGGCTTGGGACCGGTTTGGAGGCAATATTGATCCATCTTAGCCTTCGTGGAGATCATCTTAGTCGTCTCATGGACCATCTTGGGGCCGTCTTGGGAGGATGGACCAATGGAGCACACCTCGCCCGCGTGGCCGGCGGGCTGAGCCGAGACCCCAGTGAAAACTCCTTTACATAATCAACATTCAAACGTCTGGCACGCCGTGCACCCCTGTGGCAAGCCAAAGGGGGCGGCGGATCAAGAACGCCTACGGAGAATCACCGCTGCCCCTGCCTTTTGGAAACGCCCACGCGGCCCAACGTTGGGCTGAAGTTTGGCCAAGTTATTGGACTATGTGTTCCCCCAGCCGGTGACGATCCGCTTGGGGGAACACTTCGGAGAGGACGAGGGAGGAGGAGGAGGAGGAGGAGGAGGAGGAGGAGGAGGAGGAGGAGGAGGAGGAGGAGGGAGGATGAAGAAGAGGAGGCCTCTTGAGTCCCTCCCAGGGGCCTCCTGGGGGCTTCCTTGGAGCCTCTTGATGCACTCTTGGGGGCCTCTTTGGGAAATCCTGGGGGCTTGAGGGCCTCTCGGGGCCTCCGGAGGCCTCTAAGAGCACTCTTGGCTTTCGGAGGCCGTCTTTGGACCCTCTCGGGGCAGTCGTGGCTCTTTTTTTGGCGCGTGGAGATGGATTGGGCCGTCTTGGAGGGGCCCTCTTAGGGGCTTTGTAAATTTTGGACCGTCTTGGGGCGATCTTGGGGATCGGTGGGGCCGTCTTGGAGCGTCGGACGCCCGAAAAGGCGAGAACGCTAACATATGTCAAAACCACCTGAGGGCAATCACTGATCTTGGCCTCCTGGAGGTTCTCTTAGAGCCATATTGGGGCGTGGTTGGGGCCTCTTGGGCCGTCTGGCTGGAGGAAATCTTGGGCCATCCTGGCCGTCCTGGAGGCATCTTGGGGCAGCCTTCGAGGCCATCTCGGGCAGTATTGGCCCGTCTCGGAGGTCATCTTGGAGGCCATCTTGGGCGTACGGGGCCGTCTTCGAGGCGTTGGAGGCCTTGCCTCCCGCCTTCTGGGCGGCCCTCGTGGGCCCTTCTGCATGGCCAGTGCGATCGGCCGAGACCCCGCCGGGAACCCTTGGCAGAAGAACCAACACGATCGAGCGTCGGGCAAGCCGTCCACCCCTCTGGCAAGCCACAGGGGGGCGGATCGAAGGCGCCTGCGGCGAATCACCACCGCCCCCTGCCTTTTGGAAACGCCTGTGTGGAGGAACGTTGCGGCCAGAGCTCGACCAAGCCATCAGACTATGCGTTCCCCAGCTATTGTGGAAACCTTCGGGGAACATGTGTGGGAGAAAGAAAAAGAGGACGAGAGGAAGGAAAAAGGAGGAGGAGGAAGCCTCTTGGGAGCCAATTGGGGCACTCTTGGGGCCGTCTGGGAGCTTCCTGGGGACCTCTTGGAGGCATCTTGGGGGCTTCCATGGGCCTCTTGGGGACCTTTGGATGCTCTTCTCTTTGGACGTCTGATGGCGTTCTTGCCCGTCTGACGCCGTCGGAGGCCGTATTGGGGTCCTCTCTGGCTTCTTGGAGCGCTTCAGGGCCGTCTTGGAAGCCATGTTGGGTGTCTTTGAGACCTCTTGGGCCGTCTCGGGGCCGTCCTCGGGGCGGACCATCAGACGGCCATCTTGGAGGCGTCTTGGACAATATAGGGGGGTTCTAGGGGGTCTCTTGGGCCGTCTCGGGCGAAAAGGAATAGATGGCGAAATGTGTCAAACGCGGTGGGGTAATGCTTTATTCTCTTGCACAGCTGTGCTCTAGAGCTCGGACATCTTTATTTTCGTCGTTCGTCGTGTCGTTCGTCCCCCTCGCCCCCCCCCTGTCCACGCTTCCCAGGGTAGCCCCCCTGGGCCACGGAACCCTTTATTTTCGTCGTTCGTCGTGTCGTTCGTCCCTCTCGCCCCCCCCGTCCCCCTCGCCCCCCCCCCTGTCCACGCTTCCCAGGGTACCCCTCGCCCCCCCCCCTGTCCACGCTTCCCAGGGTAGCCCCCCTGGGCCACGGAACCCTTTATTTTCGTCGTTCGTCGTGTCGTTCGTCCCCCTCGCCCCCCCCCCTGTCCACGCTTCCCAGGGTAGCCCCCCTGGGCCACGGAACCCTTTATTATCTTGCACAGCTGTGCTCTAGAGCTCGGACATCTTTATTTTCGTGTCGTGTCGTGTCGTGTCGTTCGTCCCCCTGCCCCCCCTCCTCCAGGCTTCCCAGGGCAGCCCCCCCCTGGGCCTCGGACACCTTTATTGTCGTGTCGTGTCGTGTCGTGTCGTTCGTCCCCCTGCCCCCCCCCTGCCCCTCGTCCCCCTGCCCCCCCTCCTCCAGGCTTCCCAGGGCAGCCCCCCCCCTGGGCCTCGGACACCTTTATTTTCGTGTCGTGTCGTGTCGTGTCGTTCGTCCCCCTGCCCCCCCCCTCTGCCCCCCCCCGCCCAGGCTTCCCAGGGCAGCCCCCCTGAGCCTCGGACACCTTTGTGCAAGAGCCAGGGCACGCGTGCCACTTGTTTTCGTGTCGTGTCGTGTCGTGTCGTTCGTCCCCCTGCCCCCCCCCTCTGCCCCCCCCCGCCCAGGCTTCCCAGGGCAGCCCCCCTGAGCCTCGGACACCTTTGTGCAAGAGCCAGGGCACGCGTGCCACTTGTTTTTGCCTCTCTTCTGGCCTTTCTGGGGGACCTGGAGGCCTCTTGGGCCGCCTTGGGCCCCTCTTGACAGCCCCTTGGGCCGTCGTGGGCCATCTTGAGGACATCCTAGGCCTTCTCGGGTGCAGTTTAAGCCGTCTTGGAGACGTCTTTGTGCCATCTGGGGCTCTCTTGGGGCCACCTTTTGGCCGTCTTAGAGGCGACTTGGGCAACGAGAGACATTCTAGACGCTTTGCGTATCCCCACCAGCCCGTCCAGAAACGACGCCCAGGCGAGTAGAGGGTCGTCCTGAGGGGCTTTTCGGCGTCTTGGGTGCCTCGGGGGGGCCTCTTTGGGCCGTTTGGGATCCTAATGGGGGCCTCCTGGGGGCCTCTTGGGGCCATCTTGGGGCCATCTTGGGGCCTCTTGGTGCCTCCTGGGCGCTTCTTGGGGCCATCTTGGAGGAAATCGATCAAAGAAGAGGGGAGCTTCAATTAGCGCTGCCCCCTCAGAAGGCCAAAATGGGGCCAAAACCTTAGTAAAATCAATGATTTTGGCTTCAAAGAAGAGGGGAGCTTTAATCAGCGCTGCCCCCTCAGAAGGCCAAAATGGGGCCAAAACCTTAGTAAAATCAATAATTGTGGCTTCAAAGAAGAGGGGAGCTTTTAGCCCTGCCCCCTCAGAAGGCCAAAATGGGGCCAAAACCATAGTAAAATCAATGATTTTGGCTTCCTCGCCGAGGCCGTTTTGGACGCTCTGACCGCTCCCCGCCCCTCCTGTCCAGGTCAGTGGGGAGGGGGTAGGGGGAGGGGTAAACCCCTCCCCGAAGGGGAAGGGGGAGGGGTGGAAGAGGAAACGCTCTAAACCACCGACGCCCAGAGGGCTGGTGGGATTCTTACAATGGCGTTCCGGGTGGCCGGCACGATCGGTCGAGACCCCACTGGAGGAAATTGTTAAACAGGGGCCAGGCCAGCCAGACGTCTGGCAAGCTGTGCACCCCTGTGGAAAGCCAGCATGCGGGGGTGCCTCTCTCGGGGCCCTCGTGGCGCATCTTGGGGTCCCCTCGGGCCCGAAAGGTCGCTCGAGAAGATGCGCTGAGCCCGGGAGGCACGCCGGGAGCCCCGGGAGATCCAGGATTTAGGTGTCCTGACCCCTTACGGCAGGTCCATGCGGCGTTGGCGCGCCGGCGACGCTTGCGAAGGCGTTCAAAGTTGAATTCTGTGGCGTGGAAGCTCCGACGGGCACGGTAACGCCACTGGACCCGACTGAGTTCAACCTGGAACGATCGGGGCCGCGATCCATTCAAGGTTGGACGATCGACGCGGTGTCAAAAACCATTGCGCGCGCGCCGACGCCGCGCGAACCTACCGTTTGTAGCCAGTCCTGAGGACTGAGGGCATTCATTGCGGGGGGCCCGGGGACACTCCACCTCGTGTCTCGCGGCATGGTGGCGGCAATGGGGGTTGAATTCAAGGGGGGCGGCATGGGGCATGGGGCTTCAGGGGGGGGGACTTCATGGAGCCCGGCGCCGGTGAGGGGGCGATCAATGGGCGGGGGGGGAGACAGGCGCACTCTTCGGGCCCTGAAGGCCCCTTCTTGGGCTCTGCCGCTTCTCTGAGCTTTTCTGCAGCCCTCGCTGCCCCCCCACCGGGGGGGTGATCCGGGGCCCGGCCGGGCGGGGGGGCTCCCGCCGCGCCCGCGGCCTATAGTTGCCAGCGTGGGGGCGCGGGAGATGCCCGAGGTCTCTCGGGGGGAGGCGGGGGGGGGAGCCCGGAAGCCCCAGGAGTGGCACGTCGGTCCTCCTGGCCTCGGGGCGTGCGCGCACCCCGTGCCAGGGCCCAAAGTATGGCCTCTGCCAGGCACGGTGGCACCGTGTGCGCAGGCTCAAGTCGGGCCCGTGCTTCTACAGGAGGGACGTTCAAGAATTTGTAAAAAATAGTCAGGGGACGATTTTTGACTATGTTTGAATACTGTTGAGCCTTTTGGGCTTATTCTATTGGTTCAAAACCCGCCTGTAGGAGGACATGCCCGACCCAAGCGCAGGGGCCCCCTGTGCACGCTCTATCTCTCTCTCTCTCTCTTTCTCTATCTCTCGTTCTCTTTTAGGGGAACGAAGAATGACATGAACATAAAAACTCGAAGGTCCGTGCGGATTTCTCGGATCGGCGCTGGACCCCCCTCCCTGGCGCGCGGAGGGGCGGCGCCTGAAGCGCTGTTAGGGGGGTCCAGGACGGATCCGAGAAATCCGCGTGGACCTCCAAGTTTTTATGTTTACATCATTGTTCGTTGCTCTATCTCTCTCTCCGTCTCACTCCCGCGCGCCCCCCCTACAGAGGCAACCGCCGCGTGCGTGTGCTGACTGTGGAGGCGAGCGCTCCGCGAACAGAACCGGGCAGGCTTGCCCTCAGCTGCACCAGTCTTGCGGGACGCGCCGTCGCCGTGATCACCTGCGCGCGAGCCGACACGGTCGGCGCGCTGCGGAAGGCCATAGGTGCGAGGGGCTTGCAAGCACCCGCACCACCATCCTGCGCATTTTTTTGGTTCGAAGTGGCTTCGGCTTGAGGTCCACACTTGAAGACAGCATCTATGCACTACAGCCAAGACGCTGAAGGAAGGACCGCCTCTGGCCCAGGAGGGGCTCTGCTTTTCGGGCCGCTCATCAGATTTCTGCCATGGAGCCTGTCTGTGGCGTATGCCCGCCGTGGCTAGAAAAGTCCCTTGACTCCTTCTCATGCGTGCCTTATGGTACAGCACGGTGGGTGCGTTGGTTAAGGAGTGTGCCCAGGAGCCAGCAGACCCCGGACAATTCCACATCGGATGAGGGCGGCGGCGGTATCCATTTCCAATCCACGATTGGAGTTCCCCAGGCATCCAGACCCTGGGTTCCTTTTCCAAGAGTTCCTTGTCCAGTGCCCTCACCGTGGTGCGATGACTGTGCGATGCCCTGCCAGGGCCACCCTCGCCTCCCCGGATAGGACTGCACATAGACTCTCCCTGCCGCGGCAAGGGGGGTGCAGAACACCATGCCGGGGCGTACAGTGACCCCTGGCCAGCCGAGGCACTCTGGTGGCAAAAATATACAAATACTCGCTACATACAATTAGTTCAAATCATGTCGACCAGGGGCCCAGAGGAGAAGGGTGAGGGAGGAGGAAGGAGGAGGGGGAAAGGGGGAGGGGGACAGCCAATTACCTCACACGCCTTGTCACCCCTGGCAAGCGGGGGTCGGCGGATGTCACTATCCACTGCGTCTTGGACTTTCTGGGAAGGGGTGCCAGAAGGCCCAGGCCCTTTGGATATGGAAGCGTGTAGCCTACAGGGGCCAGGTTCCTGTCCATATTCACTGTGCGCCGGGTGTCTGGGGAAGGGAGCTCAACACTGCAAGATGCAGTGGATATGGATGTAGTAGGTTCGCGTCGTGTCGACCGACGGCGACCACGCCGCTGGCGTTCAATGTTGGACGCCGCCAGCGACCCAGAATCGGTCGACGTTGAGCGATCTGACGTTTCGGAAGAGGCCGATCGCTCAAGGTTGAACGATCTCCGCGATGTCAGGAGCCAACGCTGGGGTCGGCACGACACGAACCCGCGGTATCCATGGGTGGACATCGAGACGGCCGATGGGCCAGGAGAACATCCACAGGTGGTGCAGGCACAAGTTGTTTTGAGCTCGCTGTGATGCATCTCGCATGGTGAGGCGGGCGTGCACGCCAATCCTGCGTCCAAATTTCTGGCGCTCAGGTTGGCTTTGGGCTTTCGGCTTCTCTGAGGTTGGCTCTTGGCTCTCGTTTCCTCGAGGTTGGCTTTTGAAATTGGCTATCTCTGGAGGTTCAGGTGAAGTGTACCTGGTCCCCGCTGTTTGGAAGCTCAGAAAAAGTCCATGCACTTTTTGGATGGTGAGGCATCGGGAGGTGAAGGACAACGCTTTCTGCAGGGGAAGGTGAGGCATATTGAGATCTCTGCGCCTTCCCTTTGGGGAGTGAGTGGTTGCTGACTTTCGATGTTTTGGTTTCCCCTGAATGCGTTCCGCTTGAGGGCTCCTATAGTGGTAGGACAGAGCTGCAGAAAGAGTCCCATAAGGGGGGACGGGGAGACCAGGACCGCCCCCCGAGATATCTCCCCGTCCGTCGGCCCTTTCGCAGGAGACTTCCTCAAATGATTCTGGAATCGTGCTCTCGCTTCAAGGTGCGGTTTATTTGTTTGGTCTGGACGGCCACGATGCAAGGGAGGAAAAACCACCCGGACCCGATAATTGGCGTTTACTCAAGGGCCCTGCTCGTTTTCTAGAAAGCCCTGCCCTGTTTGATTCCTTCTGTGGGCGCGATAACTAAACGGCTTCGCGTTTCGGGGTGATTATTATGGGGGTGGATGTTCTGCCCTCTAACACGATGCTTTGGTGAAAAATGTGTTTCGGTGCACATGGCGGTCGTCTCCCCCTGTCTCGGCACGTATTCACTCGCCGACCGCCGACCCCTCGACCCGCCTCATCGTCGCTGCTGCCAGCAGGATGTTCTGCCAGTGCAATTTTAGAAACACGTAAGCTGCATGAGCACGTCTCCTCTGATTCGAGCGCCCTCCCCCTCCACCCTTCGCGCGGCCGCCCTCGTCTGAGACCTTCTCTCCTGCACGCCGGACAATTTGCCGATCGGTTGCCCCGATTAGCCCCACGCTGGTGCGGATTGCCTCTGCTTCCCCGCCGACGGAAAAAAAGCATGACTCCTCTGACATCCGCGCAGAATTCCTTGGGTCGGCGCCAGACGCCCCATTCCCACACTCCTCTGGCGCGCGGAGCACTCAAAGCCGGGGGCGGCGCCTCTGCGCGGGGGTCCGAACGCGCATGCTTCTGCGCCGCGTGTCGGCTGTTCCAGCGCTGGACTGTGGTCCACCACCTCGTCTGGCCAGGGCAGTCCTGGCCCTACTCTCACCCCCGGACCCCGTCGCGCGGTGAGAAAGTCGTGACGGGAGGTTAGTCGTGATTTTGGACCTCTCTGGGGGTCCTCGCCGGGCCTCGGCACTGCAGAAGAACGACCGTGGAGGCGAGACCAGTCCCGGGGAAGGAGTCGAGACCTCTGGTGGTCGACGCTATGGAAAAGTCGTGACGTCGGAGGTTTGGGGCAGGGGCGAGAGGTGGTGATGATAAGGCGTTTCAAGAGTTCCATGGGGTTCCCAGATCTCCCGATGTTCCACGCGTGCTGCAGGAACGAGGGCCGCTAGGTGCTCGGGAACTCCTGGACCGCATCCTGAGCCAATCGTACCATGACATCATTGTTTCCCCGTGCGCTGGAAAAGCAATGCCTTTTCGCATGCGGCCCATCTCCCCGTGTTTCTCAATTTCGATGTTCGCACGGGGCGCCGCGCGATCCGATCTGTCCGCCGTCGGCCGCGGCTGGCCCAACATGTAGACCAGGGGTCCAGGGGGGGGGGCGGCCATAAGAAGCAGATGTTGCATCACTTGTTCAAGGGGTTGTTAGGACAGTGTGCCGACCCTCCTGACCTCCGCCAGGAGGGCGTACACACCATGCCAGGACCCAGGATGGCCCTAGTCAGGCATGGTGGCGGTGTGCAGACCCCAGACATGCGACGTCTTGACTTTTCAGGACGGCGTCTCTGGAAGTCCAGACCCTTTCCCCGTTCCCCAGGGCCGGCTTTTCATCCTACATCGTTTTGTGACAGTCCCGGGGCCCGGCGAGGGCCCAAAGTGGCCGAAATACGGAAAAGTGTGCCGTCCTGACTTTTCCCAACCATGCTGTGTTGGGTCCTCGTTTTGACGACACACCGCCCCGCTTTCTCATCCTCCTCTCCTCCTCCCCCTCCTCCCTCCTTCGATGCGTGCCTCTGCCCTCCGCATGTTCATTTCGGCACTCTGCCCACCGCATGCCCATTTCGGCACACCCTCACACGGTTCGTGGCCCCATAGGGAGCTCCATCCAAGACCCCAGTGGCCGCGTTCACATGCGTCCACCCCGCCCACCGCATGTCCATTTCGGCACACCCCTCACACGGTTCGTGGCCCCATAGGGAGCTCCACCTAAGGCCCCAGAGGCCGCGCAAGCATGCGTCCACCCCGCCCTCCGCAGGTCCCTTCCGGCACACCTTTCACACGGTTCGTGGCCCCATAGGGAGCTCCACCCAAGGCCTCAGAGGCCGCGTTCGCATGCGTCCACCCCGCCCACCGCATGCCCATGTCGGCACACCTTTCACACGGTTCGTGGCCCCATAGGGAGCTCCACCCAAGGCCCCAGTGGCCGCGTTCCGGTCACATGCGTCCACCCTGCCCACCGCATGTCCATTTCGGCACACCCCTCACGCGGTTCGCAGCCCCATAGGGAGCTCCACCAAAGGCCCCAGTGGCCGCGTTCACATGCGTCCACCCCGCCCGCCGCATGCCCATTTCGGCACACCCCTCACGCGGTTCGTGGCCCCATATGGAGCTCCACAGAAGGTCCCAGTAGCGCAGTTCGCATGCGTCTCCTCCGCCCAGTACAGCGTTTCGTGGCCCAAGAGGGACCACCACCGAAGGTCCCAGTGGCGCAGTTCGCACGCGTTCCCTCCCCGCTCAATACAGCGTTTCGTGGCCTCCGAAGGTCCCAGTGGCGCGGTTCGCATGCGTTTCCCCCACCGAGTACAGCGCTTCGTGGCCCAAGAGGGAGCTCCACCGAAGGTCCCAGTGGCGCAGTTCGCATGCGTCTCCCCGCCCGGTACAGCGCTGCGTGGCCCCCAGCGGCGCACATCGCATGCGTCCACCACACCCAGTACAGCGTGCCGTGGCCCCATCGGGAGCTCCACCAAAGGTCCCAGTGGCGCAGTTCGCATGCGTCTCCCCCGCCCAATACAGCGTTCCGCGTCCTCAGAGGGAGCGCCACCGAAGTTCCGAGTGGCGCAGTTCGCATGCGTCTCCCCCACCCAGTACAGCGTTTCGTGTCCCCAGAGGGAGCTCCACGGAAGGTCCCAGTGGCGCAGATCGCATGCGTCTCCTCCACCCAGTACAGCATTTCGTGTCCACAGAGGGAGCTCCACCGAAGGTCCCAGTGGCGCAGTTCGCATGCGTCTCCCCGCCCGGTACAGCGCTGCGTGGCCCCCAGCGGCGCACATCGCATGCGTCCACCACACCCAGTACAGCGTGCCGTGGCCCCATCGGGAGCTCCACCAAAGGTCCCAGTGGCGCAGTTCGCATGCGTCTCCCCCGCCCAATACAGCGTTCCGCGTCCTCAGAGGGAGCGCCACCGAAGTTCCGAGTGGCGCAGTTCGCATGCGTCTCCCCCACCCAGTACAGCGTTTCGTGTCCCCAGAGGGAGCTCCACGGAAGGTCCCAGTGGCGCAGATCGCATGCGTCTCCTCCACCCAGTACAGCATTTCGTGTCCACAGAGGGATCTCCACGGACGGTCCCAGTGGCGCTGTTCGCATGCGTCTCCTCCACCCATTAGTGGCCACAGAGGGAGCTCCACCGAAGGCGATACGCACAATTGCGGTATTCACAACTGCACACGGTTGGGTCCTCCGCCAGGCTACTTTCACGATGCGATCTTGTCTGGGGGCGCCTGCTGCGTGTTGGCGCCCTCTCGATCAGGTGCGGAGCTGCAGATCCCGCCGGGGCAGCTCCGCCTGCTGATGCCAGGCGGAGAGCTGCTCGACGACGGCGCGGTGGCGGCCTCGCTCGTCGTGCGGGGAGCGCCGAACGTGTCCGTATCCATGCCTTCGCGGTCTGGATACCGAGGTGCGATCCCTGGGATGTGCGCTCCCATGGCAGGGCTTTGCTTCTATTCCTCACATTCGATTCGATTCGATTTCGATGGCTTCCGATTCCGATTCGCTTCGACTTGGGATTCCAATGTGGGTTTCGATGTACCATTGCAGGCATCTTAGCCTGCCGACGTCCGCCGATGCGACTTTTCCCGGCTTGGCTGCCGATTTCCGCCGATACGATTGATTTCGATCGCCGATCCGACTCATCGATTCGATTCTGGGCTCTCCTGCCATGGATATGATATGTTCCACGCGGGGTGCCCGTGCAGCGACTCGAGGAGTCCGGACCTCGAGGCCGTGAGTATACGAGCACGTGTCCTTTCCACAGAGATTGGGCAGGGGGGGGGTCTAGCACGCGTCGCGCTGAAATAGTGTGTTGCTGTCGATATGACGCCGACGTTGCTGCGGAGGGAGGGTTTGGAGCGTTTTTCGCCACGGCTGGGTAGTTACGCCTCGAACGTCTGGCTGGAACACACGACCTCTCCGGGTACAGGCTTTGCAGCGGAGGGGAGAGTTCGAACGGGGCTGGGACGAGGATAAATCCGTTCCTGAGCGTTTGGACGGCTCCCAGGGCTTTCTGGAACGCTGACAGAAGGCCGCGGCGCCCTAAGCATCCTCCAGAGCCGCCGGATCTCAGAGTTTATCGAGTTCTACTCACTCGATGTTGTCCTCGCCCTGGTTTCGCCTGATCAGAAGACAGTGGGTCTCGAGAGAGAGGGGGCGGAGGTTCTGAGGTTTGCATGTCCTCTCGACCGTTCGGGGCCCCCTTCCCCAGGCCCCGGCCGGGGCCATGGGAGAGCGACTCGGGACACAGGCCACGGTCCTGGGGAAAGTCCCAGGGTACGTCCAGGAACCGTGTGCCTTAGAATCCTTCTGTTCTGCATGGCCGTTGGGCACCCTCCTCCCCCTCCTCCTTCTTCTCCACCTTCTTCTCCTTCCCTCCTTCTCCTCCTCCTCCTCCTCCTCCTCCTCCTCATCCTTTTACTCCCCCTCCTCCTCCACCCCGTCGCCGTTGTCGCCGACGATCCGCGTGCCGGCCTTGTGCCTCTCGTGTCTCGCCTGCCTGTCTTTCCAGTGCTGCGTGCTGCCAAGCGCGCTGCCTCTGCTGGGGCGGGTCGCCAGGCTGAGCCGGCGCCTCTTGGGGGGCCGGCGGAGGTGCGAAGACGACCGCGATCTGCTCGCTGCGCCACCGTCTTCAGACGACGCGACGGATCTTGTCCGTCCGACAGGGGGCGCCTGCAGCTTGGCATGGGCGTACAGGAGCACAGTCTTGAGGCTGCTCGCATGAGGGTGCCATGACTGATCGCTGCGTCGAGAAGAGCAGGAGCACGAGCGCACAAGCAGTGGGCGGCACCCTGCTGGTGCACTGGCGCACCGATCGGCCCGGCGCCGCGGCGAGCAACAGAAACGTGTCAGTGGCCAGCCAGCCGGAGAGGCGAAGGCAGCGGCTCAGGCTGCCCGGAGTGGTGCCGCCGCCTGGGCCGCCTGGGGCAGGATGGCGCGCGGCATCTGTGCCTCTGGGCCGCCTGCCGGGCCAGCCCTCGGGGAGGGCGCGAGGGGAGGGCTCGGGGTACACCGGCGGCGAGCGGGGGGGGGGGGGGAAGGGATGAGGAGGGGAAAGGATAAGGAAGGAAAGGAAATGGAAAGGAGGGGAAAGGATGAGGATGAGGATGAGGAGGGGATGAGGAGGGGGCGGCGAGCGAGGGGGGGGGGGAAAGGATGAGGAGGAGAAGGCCTTCTCAGAAGGCGGCGGAGCTCCTCGGAGGCCCTCGCGCCTTCTGAGAAGTTGTCGCTGCGTCCTGGGGGGGAGGCTCAGAGAGCTCCTCAGGAGGCCTGGGGACCTCCGAGCCTCTCGAGCAGGCCCGCCCCTCCTCTCGCTTCCCCCCCGTGCTCGCCGCCGAGTCAAGAAGGGGGCGGGCACAGAGCCTGCGGTCGCCAGTGGCGCCTGCGCGGGGCAGCCAGCAGCCAGTCGAGCGACACAGACAAAGAGGGGTCGTGCGCGCCGACGTTGGCGCGCAAGCTGCCCACGTGAGGTCGCGCGCAAGCGCCCTCGTCTCCACTGTGGCGTGCCGCGCCGGCGGCCCGCGTCAGCCGCCGCGCAAGGTCGCCATGTCTTCTGGCGTAAGACCCGTGTTTGACCGTCGCCCATGACCTCAAGGCGGGCAGAGCCACCCCGACCCCCATACAGTCAACCCGCATAGGGATGAGGGAGTTTTCCAAGGTTGCCCTTGCATCCTCTTGCCCCTTCGGCCTATCCCTGGCAACTTTCGCTGGCCAGCCATGTTCTAAAGAAAGGCCAACATGGCTTTCCAAGGCCCTTGCATCCTGAACGCGCATTCTTACTATACGGGTTGACTGTCGCCGGCGTCTACGAAATGCGGCCCGGTGCGTTCACGAAGCGGCCTGGTCCTGTCCGACTCCCTCCGCAGATCTCCCAAAAGCCTGGGTAGTTCGCCTGTAGGGGGGCTTCTGATGAGCGTGGCTCCTTCCGCCCTCTCCCCGCCATTTTACGCGATCGATTGCGGAAGCTTCCGTTCGTCTTGGAGTGAACGTATATCGGAGTATAGCGCCCAATAGCGCTCAGTAGCGGCAAGTACACATAGCGCCCAAGAGCGCCCATGTGCCCTGAATAGAGCTCGACTAGCGCCCAAAAGCGCGCAATAGCGCAATCTGACGGAGGTCCACTGCCTCCGCTTTGCGCACTACTGGACGCGCTGCTCCACGCACTTTTGGGCGCCATGGGGACGCACAACAGCTTCCGTGCATTGATTTTTGCACTCCGCCCACCCCGCACGGTCGCCCTGGACTGAAGCCGGGCCTGTCCCTCTACAGGGGGATTTTCGACGAAAACAAATACCCCAAAAAGGTAAAAAAATAGTCAAAAATAGTCCCCTGACTATTTTTGGATTATTTTTGGATGATTTTTCGACTATTTTGGGGGTATGTTATTTTTTCCGTCGAAAATCCCCCTGTAGGGGGACACGCCCGACATAACCCTGGACTCCATCTGTGATCCATTCTTCGAGCCGGACCGGTCGGTGAGGGCCCCAGGGCCCGGCACTCCGCGAGAACGCTTGGCTCGGCACAGTGGAGACGCCAGGGCCTCAGGGTCTGATGGCTGTGGTTGTTCTGCCTCCTCCCCGCCACTCCGCCTCAGATCGTAAGTCACGGAAGCATCCGATCGTCTCGCATTGGATTGACATCGGCGAGTAGCATCGAGTGGCGCCCAACAGCGCGCTCACCGCGCCCAAGTAGCTCCGAATTGCTCCCAAATGGCGCCCAACTAGCGCTATGCGAGGGACATGCGTTGCGCCCGCCTTGCGCGCTGTTGGGCGCCAGGGGGGGCGACCGAAAGCTTCCGTGAGCTGGTCGCCAACACCGCTCCGCCCAACCCGAGCACCCGCTGCTCCGTTCTCAGGTCCGCCCTCTCCCCGCCCCGCGGGCGAAAGAGCCTGTCCATGATCCCCGGCTGCGCGGGCCGGCTGCGCGGGCCGGGCCCCGAAGCCGCGACCCCCTGCCGATGCGGGGGGCACCTGTCCGCGGGTGCCCCCGTGCGGAGCGCACCCGTGCGACCGCCCAGCTATTCAGAGCCCCGAATCATCAGGGGTAACTCGGGTCAGGGATAACTCGGATTCTTTTTCCGGGAATCCAAACCCGAGTTACCCCGGACCCGAGTTACCCCAGATAACTCGGGCGCCCAGAGCCCCGAATCATCAGGGATAACTCGGGTCAGGGCTAACTCGGGTTTCTTTCTCGGGAATCCAAACCCGAGTTACCCCGGACCCGAGTTACCCCGGATAACTCGGGCGTCCAAGCTATCAGAGCGGGATCGCGCCTCGGGGTCCAGACTGCGCGTGCGCGGATGCGGCTGTGCTCACCGCTCCCGGCTGCCAGCCAGGAGGGCCATCTCCACTACCACCCGGGGGTCACCACGTGCACCACCACTGGTGGGGGGCACCTTCCGGGTGCCTCGCCGCTGCCTCGCCGAGCTGGGGACAGGGGATGTCTCGAGCGGGAGAGGGGACCACACTACCAGGGGGACCTCCCCTTGGCTTTTCCCGCTAGCAGTGCTTGGTGGTGGCGGCGTCGCTTTTCCTGCCTACTATATTGCGCCGCCCAAAATCCGGGGCTATTCAAATCACATCGACACACTGCCGCAGGCGTCTCGGGGGGGAACGCGAAGAGTTCGGCTGGCTCTGAGGCCCCGCGTGGGGCCCCGTTCGCCTTCGCGAACAGTGCCGACGTCGAGCATTGATGCCCGCGTGCATCTGCTGAGGGTGGCTCTCGGAGGAGGAGGAGGAGGCGAGGCGAGGCGAGGCGAGGCGAGGGAGGCGAGGCGAGGCGAGGCGAGGCGAGGCGAGGAGAGGCGAGGAGGAGGAGGAGGAGGGAGGAGGAGGAGGAGGAGGAGGAGGAGGAGGAGGAGGAGGAGGAGGAGGGAGAGGAGGAGGAGGAGGAGGAGGGAGGAGGAGGAGGAGGGAGGAGGGAGGAGGAGGAGGAGGAGGAAGAGGAGGAGGAGGAGGAAGATCTCTGTCTCTCTCTCTCTCTCGCCCTCTCCCCACCACGCCGCCCACCCCGACCACCCGCGCCTGGCGCCTGCCTGGCGCCCGCCTGGCGCCCTCGCCGCCCGCTGCGCCCGCGTGGCGCGGCGCCGCGGCGCGGCGCGGCGCGGCGCTGGGAGGCCCGAGCGCAGCCACCCTGCGCGCCGCCGCGCTGGTCGGCGCAGCGCCGGCGGCCGCGCGGGCGGCCCTGCGGAGTGCCGGCGGCCGCGCGGGCGGCCGCCGTGGCGCGCGGCCGCCAGCGGCCGGCCGTAGGGCGGCGCCGCTGGACGCAGGTCGAGGGAGGAAGTGAAACAGTGGCGAGGCGTCCTGGCATGCCTATAGGCCCACCGACGAGCTTTCCAAGAACAGCTTGACGTCTGCACGACAGTGTTTTGGTTTTTGTTCGAAGATTTTGGGATTCTGCGAAGATTTCGTGGTAGGCCTATAGAAATGCTGGGACGGCTGGTCCCTGCTCAAGGCAGGTGCCGAGGTTCAGCGGAGGGAAGGGTACCCATACTGCCACCCGGCTCTCGCTTCCGCCTGTTTGGGCGGCCTGGGCGGCCCTCGTCGCTACCGCTGGATTCGCCTCGAAATCTTGGTCGGAGCGCACTCCAGGAGAGGTCCAGGGATTAGCGGTACCTTTGGGGCTCCCCAGAGGCCGTGGCAGCCCTGAGATCATGGCATCTCAATGTTTTCGAGCCCGGCGCTCTCGAGCGGATGCGAGCTTTGGGGCCCTCACAGATCGATGCAGTTCGAAGAGTGGGGAAGGAAGATGGGCTCTACGGCCCTGGTCGTGACTTCTCCAGGGTGTCTCAACGTTTTCGCGCCGTCGGATCTCAGGGAAGGTGCCGCGGGGTCTTGTCGACGCTGGTCTTGGTAACTGTCCACGGAGGCTGTTCCATAATAGCATTTCGCCTGAGGGTTCCGGTAGAGGTAGTTGTGGGAAGCTCTGGATTGTTCTGTCCGGCAGCCGTTTCGTTTGAGACCTCCTTACGATGTATGCAGAAATCGTACTGTCGCCTCAACCCCGGCTAGACGTTTGGTCCAGACGGCCATGATCTTTTGCATCAGAGCGTGAATGACCTACCCCGCTTTCGCTTCTAGGCAAAGCCAAGTCATACCAAGCGCCTCCTCGTCAAGCGGCCTGACCAGCGCAGGCCGTAGTTTGGCGTCGCTTGGTATCTCTTGGAAGAGAGGGTGGTCAACATCGAGGTAGGTTTGTTTGCGCCCTATTGCAGGAAACGTTACGCTGCACATGGCCGTGCTCTCACCTGAGCGGCGGAAGAAAGGGTTGTCGTCTTCGCCGACATTGGCGCGTAAGCTGCCCGCGTAAGATGGCGCGTAAGCGCCCTCGTCTCCAAAGCAGCGTGCAGCGCGGGCGGCCCGCGTGAGCCGCGGCGTCAGGTGCCCATGCCATCTCGCGTAAGACCGATTGCGGATCGTCGCTCACACGGCCGTGCTGTCATCTGCTAGTAGGGCGCGTTGCTGTTCATCCTCTGGCACGCCACGGTCGTCCCCCACCCCCCCCAGGTGAGGTAGGGGGAATAGGTGGGCCCATCCGTGGGCCCACCGCTTTTTGGAGGTCTGCTCATACGGATGCTGCGTTGTCTGCTGTGTCTTGCATTGCATTGCAGTGCAATCGCATTGCATTGCATTGAGATGCAATTACGTTGCAGCGCAATCGCATTGCACTGCATTCAAGGAGGATGGACGGAGAGAGGATGGAGAGGCGGACGGGGAAGGATTGGGGAGGGACGGGAC